TTACGTTTAGGCTAATAAAATATATTTAATTATCTTCTAGTAAGCGTAAAATACTTTCTTATTAAGCTACTTATATAAGAGAGATTTAAGTAGTTTAAATATAAAAGTATAATTAATTTTAATATAAGTTTAAGTTATTTAAGTACTTATTTACACTTATAATAGGCTATAGCTTAAAATATATGTAATTAGAATTACTAGTATTTTAAAAGCATTTAATTATTTTATTTAAATTAATTTACTACTTATTTAAAAATCTTATTATCTTTAAGAAGTAAGTTATAGGAATTAAAAAGTAACTAGATCGTAATACCACGTATAGAGTTATAGCCTTATAGGTGTGTGTGTATATTACGTTTAGGCTAATAAATTAAATACCTTAATATTTAAGGCTTAAAAGTAAATTATCTTATAAGTTTAAGTTAATTATTTATTAATATTAATAACGTTCTTATATATTACTAGTAATTGATTAATTAATTTAAAACTTTCTATTAATTTAAAAGTATCTTTTATTATTATATTAAAGCTTAATTAATTAATTTAAAGCTTCTCGTTAATTTAAGAGTGTCTCTTATTATTATATTAAAGCTTAATAGGTTATAAATAATTAATTATTTTAATTTAATAGAAACTATAATTACTTAAAAAATAAGCTTAAGTTATAAAAGAATAAATTTTAATTAAAAAGAGGTAAGGTTTTTTAGTTACTTCCCTTTATTTAATTTCCTTAATTTAAAAGCTAAGGTAATAATTACTATTAATACTAGTATAACCCTTAAAGTAAGTTAAGTAATAATAAAAGATATAGGCTTCTTTAAGGTATTTAGCTTCTTTACTTTTACGTCTTATATTATAGCTAAAGCTAGTATTAGGGTTTCTTTAAGTTCTTAAATAAGAGTAATAATTATAAGAGTAATAAAAGCTGTTAGTTTTATTATAAGGGTAGTCTTAAAGGCTTTAATTAGTTTTAAGGCTATTAATAAGATAACTTATAATATAAAACTTAAAGTTATTTATAATAATTTAAGCTTAACCTTAATTAGCTTAATAGGTATAAGGTAATACTCTCTTAACTTTAGGTTTTTCTTATTATTACTAGTAATAAAGCTAAGATTTTAATTATTAATAAGAATATTAATAGAAAAGGCTTTTAATAAATAATTAAAGAAGTAATAAAACCTTTAATTAAATACTAATAAGTTTTTACTTATTTAAAATCTTTAAGTTATATAAGATAAGGTATAAAGGGCTTTTATAATACTTTATAAGAGAGATAAAAAGTTTTCTTTCTTATTATTATCTTTCTTCTTATTATTATTTTAATTAAAGATACTATTCTTATTTAAGAATTCTTTCTTATTTAAAATCTCTTTCTTCTTTAAGAGTTCTTTTTATTATAATTAAAAGAGCTCTTATAAAGCTTTATTTATAAGGTTAAGTAATAGTAATATAAAAAAGGTATAATATTATAAGGTAAGTTATATAATTAAGATAAGAGATCTTTCTTAAAGATATTAGATTATTTATAATAAGAGCTTAATTATAAGAGCTTAAAGTAAAGAGCTTAATTTAAAGATAATCTAGTATAATATTAAAGGTTCTTAGTTTTAAGAGAGAAAGAAAGGGTATAATAACTATTATATATATATAAAAGAAATAAAGATACTATAAGCGGTAAGTACGCCGTATATTTAGTTTAAGTAAGCTCGCAGGTCCTACATCGGCGTTAGGCTTTGTTGAGTCCCAACCGTGTAACACAGCTATAGTTGCCAAAGCCGCCAGCGTAAAGGAAAGCCTCATGGTAAAGAGTTAGTCAAATGCCTGTCTTTCCTTGCTAAAAAAACAGCCTAGCTAGCTTCAAAGAACGTGAAAGCAGACAGGAGAGGAAGAGAAACAACAAGCAGACCTGCTCATTAGAGATGAAGAAGAAAGATGCAACTATTATATCGAATCTTTTCGCGTTAGCCTGAAGCTTTCACCTGAAACCACACGGACCATCTCAGCGTAGTTTGCCCCTGATGTATCGACGGATCCAAAATCGAGTCTGCAATCTCAATATCTTTGTGATTGTGGTCTCAAATGAGATGGAGACGGTCACTCTTGAGAAGAGCAGCCGCTTCCGGCTGTCACTGCAGTTTTGCCAAGACTTAGGAGTGAGTGTGGTGCCGCTGCTCACCGCTACACTTGGATGACATTGGGTCCTGAAGCATCTAGACTTGGGTGAAGCGGGTTATGAGCAGTCTCAGGTTGCTCGGTGTAGACAAAGGGTTCTCTGCGTCGGTGCCATATGGGAGGATCGTCAAAGCTAACCGCGCCGCGACGATCTGGCCTGGACTAGCCGCGGGAGCACCGCAAAGGGAAATGTAATTTGGGGAATCGATTGTAGCCCATGGTCGATTTGGTTCTTGTTGAAGCTGTGACCGCGCTGCATCCCCTGCGTATGTTGCCACTAATCAAACATTTCGGGACGTGCGATGTGGCGGGAAGAAACAATGTACCATTGTCACATGTTGCATGATTTTGCGTGGTTGGGGTCATTATAACTTTCATGATTTGGACACTTGGAGCTGGGTGCGCCTGAGCTATGGACTAGAAATGGCACTTGGTGAGAGGGAACTTGTCATGTTCCACCTATATTTTCGTGAGTATTTGACGAAGAAAATATATCTTGATAACTACTTTTATTGAATATGATGAATAAAGGCTTATTCAACGCAAGGATTGTAGGGTAAGATGCCCCGTAACCGTCGCCCTACAAACCATTTGGCCCGTATTACCACACAGTTGAGTACCCTTCAACAGGCCATGGAAAAATAAAATAAAAGAAATCAGCAAGGCATCTGGCAAGCACAGACACAGACCTCGGCCCTGGCTCGTATTTCCGATAATCTACTTGGACATGGCCGACTTGATGGATGATGAGACTGGTGTTGCATGACTTCCATGGACTCTGGCTTACACGCGTCGGTGAGGCTCCCAAGTCGGCAATGTACGGAGTAAGCAAGACGTCTTTGCTATTCCCAATTTCCTGATTTGTCGAAAAAAGGTGTGAAGAATTGCGCCTCAACGCTAGGCGAATTGGCTCATTTGCCGTCTTACTGACGTCACATCGGGTGCAATTCCCGCGGCATTTCCAGGCCATCCTAGCAAAAAGACTTACCAGGGAGCCGCTGCTTAGCCAAACAAATGCTTGCAACTCGAGCCAAAACCGGGGGGGCCCTACCGAGACACAACGGATGGCACAGCTGCCGGCGTCTTCCGGCGTCGGATCCGGTTTGCCGGTCTTCGGCCCGGCTTCACCCAGTCCCATCGGCCATTTAAATGGGCCGGCGATCCGCCTTGACTACGCTTGCGCCTGGCCATTGACGACAGGCAAGAGGGGTTTCAAAGCGGAACCTCCTTTTTGACATTTTCACGCGTCGGCCATGTCGGACGAAAAGAAGCACGAGCCGGAGCGGTCGCCCGCAGCGGACGAGGCTCCTCACGGCGCCGACAGCCATGACGTCGACTCGGCGGCAGACAGCAGCGGCCAAGACGACGACGTCGACGACGACGACAACGAAGCCAAGTCGGAAGACCTCGACGGCCACCGGCCCACGCTGCGCGAAATACGCTCCAACACGTCGTACGCGAGCTCTCGGCGGCGGCGCGCCGAGTCTGGCGCAACGGCCACGGGCAGCCTGGCGCGGACCATAACACGCCGCGACACGGTTCTCTCGAGGATACGATCGCGGCCGGTGCCGCAGTTCACGCACCCCCTCGCCCACGTGCGGACGAGCGACGCCGAGCTCGTGGGCTTCCAGGGGCCCGACGACCCGTACCACCCGCTCAACTGGGTGACGCACAAGAAGGCGTCGACGACGCTGCTGTACGGGCTCGTCACCATGACGGCCACGTGGGCGTCGTCGTCGTACTCGGCCGGCACGGCGCAGATTGCGCACGAGTTCGGCGTCGGCACGCAGGTCGCCACGCTCGGCACGACGCTGTACCTGTTTGGCTTCGGGCTCGGCCCCTTGCTCTGGGCGCCGCTCAGCGAGGTCTACGGACGCCGCCTGGCCGTCATGGCGCCCATGTTTGTCGCCATCTGCTTCAGCTTCGGCAGCGCCACGGCCAAGGACCTGCAGACGCTGATGCTGACGCGCTTCTTTGGCGCCTTCTTCGCCTCGGCGCCCGTCACCAACACGGGCGGCGTGCTGGGCGACTTGTACTCGCCGGCCTGGCGAGGCATCGCCATGGCGGGCTATGCCATGGCCGTCGTCGGCGGTCCCGTGCTGGGTAAGTAAAGACGGCAAGAAGGCAGGAATACACATCAAGGTCAAACGGATGCTAACCCGCCGCAGGACCCATCGTCTCGGCCGCCGTCGTCGAGCAGCCGTCCCTCGGGTGGCGCTGGACCGAGTATCTCACGGGCATCCTCCAGGTGGTGGTGCTCGGCGTGGCCATGGTCCTCATCGACGAGAGCTACCCGCCGAAGCTGCTCGTCTACAAGGCGCGCCGGCTGCGGCACGAGACGGGCAACTGGGCGCTGCACGCGCGGTTCGAGGAATGGGACGTCAGCGTGGGCGAGCTGGCGCGCAAGTTCCTGCTGCGGCCGGTGCAGCTCCTCTGCACGCCCATCTGCTTCCTCATGGCGCTGTACGCCAGCTTCTGCTACGGCATCCTGTACATGCAGCTGGGCGCCATCCCCATCATCTTCGGCGAGCTGCGCGGGTGGCGGCCGCTGGTCGCGACGCTGCCCTTCCTGAGCATCTTGGTCGGCGCCATGCTCGGCTGCGCCCTCAACGTCTACAACCAGACCCTGTACAACCGCGCCTACCACGCCGCCGGCGACCGCGCCGTCCCCGAGAAGAGGCTGCCGCCCATGATGCTGGGCTCCGTGCTCTTCAGCGCCGGCCAGTTCCTGCTCGGATGGACCGCCGGCCCGGCCGTCCACTGGATCGTCCCGTGCCTCGGCCTCGTCATGCTCGGGACCGGCTTCTTCACCATCTTCCAGGCCGCCCTCAACTACCTCGTCGACACCTTCCAGGCGTACGCCGCCTCGGCCGTTGCGGCGAATACCTTTCTGCGCTCGTGCTTTGCCGGCGCCTTTCCGCTGGTCGTAGGGCCGCTGTACCACAATCTCGGCGTAGGGCCGGGGTCCAGCATCACCGGCGGGTTTGCCGCGCTGCTGATCCCCGTGCCCTTTGTCTTTTACAAGTATGGCAGGCGCGTGAGGGCCAAGTCCAAGTGGTCTCGGAAATCCGTCTTTTGATCTACAGCAAGCGGCGCGTTTTGGGATACCGGTTGTACTTGTTTGATAGTAATGATGATTCATAATAAAACTAGACGACTCCACGTCTTATATTCTCTCATTGTCTAGATACTTGAGCCAGTGCGAGTTTGTTAGTTGCCATGTGCGCTGTGTTATACCTGAGAACTTACATGGTATTCAGCAGCACGTGTAGTCGACAACATCGCCGTGTGGTCGACGTCATCTTTGCTAGGTAGCGGCTGGTGTAGCCCTTTCTCACCGTCTATATACTTGAAGCCAGTACGCATTCGTTAACTACCTACCTTATCCCAGTGCCCTTTGAGGGCCCTTCGGGGACCCCGCCGGGGGCCGCCTCCGCCGAGCTCGGGCCTGCGGCCGGCTTGGTACATCAAGGTTGCAATGCTACAAACAGAATACCGACCAATTGCCGAAGAGTTATTTTTGACATCTTTATGAGGTGTCCGTCTCGAGTCTTACCACTCAAAGTATGCAATCTTGTAGCTAAAACCCGGGGTGTATTTTTGTGACAGCTCTTTGATACCAAGCATCAAGGGCTTGGAGCGAAAATGAGTTTATTCAAAGATAATCTTGTAGGATGTCAAAGGTCCTGGATTTCCAAGGAAGGGACTAGTGACAACTATATATACATGAAAGGCACAGCTGTGCCTAAGGCTTCCAGCGGGTCATGTGTTCAGTCTGTGTAACCTCGTAGGTCCTATATCGGCGATGCCCCTTTGTTGAACTTTGACCGTGCAACAATTTTAGTATACAACTGGATCGTCGGAGTTGGTCTAATGTTTGCTTGCCCGGGAGAACTGATGCTTTTAGAGGTAATAAAGGGTCTTGTGGGATAATTATTGGCAGTTTGCAGCCGTATTTTACGTCGCTGTGTTGAGAACGAATGGTGCCGCGACCACGACACCTCTGCTTCTATTAAGCTCCCCGAAGCACTTGCTGAAATCAGCCAGAGAGATCAAATGAGCATCATAAGGAATATCTCGTAGGGAGCATTATATACGGGATGTTTGCGTTACGCAAGCGGATCACCCCTATCTTGGGGTCCCGCTTAGGAGGAGAGCCGATTGTTCAAAGTGATTTGGTGCCTGTGACCGACTTTATCAGCTGTAACTACACAGCTCTTTGTAATCTTTATGCAAAAAATTAAACTTATCCACAGCTTGTAGCAATTGAAGACCTGTCTAGTGAGAGCTGTCCTGTCCTGAAGAACAGTGGCCATGAGCATATAACGACCCGAAGCCCACCCGGCCCGTCTGCAGCGGTCCGAGGAATATGTGGACTCCCTCGCCAATATTCCCCAGCGTCGCTAGAAGAGTGTCTGGTGTTCACCTAAAAAATCAATTGATACCGTGTCGCATTTGGGTATTTGTTGGTTATGCCTGGTAAATGGTATTGATGCCGGTGAAGAAAGGCTTGGGACTTGCCGGGCAATGACTCAGAGCTTGTAGTAGGGCGATAAATGTCACGTTCTCAGATTATTATTAACTAATATTCTTCCATAAAATTATTCTTATTATTTATAGTACTATAGACTCTATTTTTAGCGTTCTTTTAATACTAGAAAGAAAGATATGAAATTCGGTCGTAGTAGGAGCAAGGGGACCATTCCATGCCGGTCGCAGAAACTCTGCAAACCTAATTTACTAATAGTCGTGCTCTTAGAGATGTTTGCTACAAGTACTAAAAAATAAGCGCTAATAATAAAGATTAAATTAAAACTTATTTGTTTCCTTTATATTTAATAAAAAGCTTATTTGAACACTTTCTTTTTGATCTTCATAATATTCTCTTCTGCACGCTTTTCTGCTTTGGGAACTTGGCCAAGTTGGGACTTGAAGTCGGCAGCCGTGGTGGGATCCTGACGGCGGCCTAGAAGCATTGCATCAAACGCCGGGCTGAGGAAGTGGCCGTTTGAGGAAACAATAAAGACAGTAGAGGCAAGAATGGACCGCATTGTTGGAGAAAATAAAAGGCAAGAGCTAAATGTGATCTAAAGAGACGGGTGGCTGATGGGAGGGAATGTATTTTGATTCAGTGGTTGGTAAGTTCTCCCTCTATATAGGGCAACGGAAAGCGGCGTTATGTGTCATCAAACGCTCGAGTCTGTCAATGCTTATTCTGTATACATCTGGTTGGAGCCGTAAACCGGCACGGCCTGGCATTACGCAGGCTGTAAGTCGAGTGTAGACGACGTCGTGTAAGCGTGAACTATATGCGCCATGTTACGATGCATTCATCTCGGCAGAGGTAAAGCGCATCAAAGTGAGACCTGATTCAGGAGTTGCCAGGAATCATTGTGCCGTTTCCACACTTGCACTTGTCAATGCTTGTTACACGGATAAGGACAAATCGTGAAACCCAACAAAGGGGCCTCACCGACAAAGGACTTATTCGTTACAAAACGAGATCACGAGAACTATGGGGCGTATCAGGCATGGGCTGTTCCTTTCACGTATATAAGACGGTCTCCCCTTGCCTTGAGGCTTGAGAGAACCAAAGAACTTTGACACCATACAAGATCATCATTGAATTGAGCCCTTTTGCTTTAAGCCCTTGAATACAAGTCCTTGTTACAATGCTAGCCTAGCTTAGATACAGTACACGTCCCAGTTGTGGTTAATAGATTATGACTTGGCCTCGAACGCATAAAGTCGCACGATATGACTCTGGTGGGGTCTGGGAGTTCGAGTCAGTATATTCATTACGTCTCGTGGTAAGGGTCAACTGGTTCAACTTGACAAGTCGTTTACTGTAGTATTTGTGGGCCACTGCGGCATTTCATATGCCGACATGGACTCATATTCATTTGCCGAGCAATTCATTTGTCCTTCGGAAAACAATGCACCAATGAATTGAAGGACATCAGCCACCAGACATGAAACAACCGCCTTCTTCCGAATTCCGACATGGAGCCCCCGTGAGCAGCCCGTAGTACGACGACGCCCCGGCAGTTGGTGTGGACTCGTGCAGGGATCGCCTCAGGTCTCCCCCAGCTTGTTTGAAGTCAACTGGTGTCTGCTTCCTGGGGATGCATGAAGTCAATCAGTGGGCCATGCCCGCCAAAGACTTGAACTAGTCAATACGTCTCAAACTCTGCCGCCTATCGTGTCAAGCATTCCAACAGCTCGCCCCCTGGTTGCGGAGCACATTGACGGTAGACGTTATCAGATGAACTGAATTACACATGTTTCACCAATATAAGCTTATTAATTAACAAGTTTAAAACTAGTTCGTAGCAGGGACAGGGCTGGTAGTCGGCTGATGTGCTCTAGGGCTAGGCCATATCATTCCATTTTACCATGACAACTCTCAAGGCTCTTCACGGCTACACGTTGCGTAGTTTATGAGTAAAAGTAAAATCTAATCGCGAGCTAGTCTTTATCAATAGAAACATCTACCGCTCCTGTATACAGGACTGTCTTGGCCATCATGTTGGACTTGGATCTGGGGATGCTTCGCTAGTCTCTCTCCTTGCCGTATGAGAGTTAGCAGCCTATTTACCCCTTATTGCTGCTGCCAAAACTAAGCTCATAGCCACCCAAAGGATTTTTGGCTTTACAACGTCTTCAAATGTTTTCCAAGAAGTCGTGTTGCTTCACTCATGGCGTCGCTGCTGAACTTCCTTAGGAGGGGCCTCACCATCCGATGTCCCACTCGTGCAACCGCCCTCTGGACAATCTGACCGATTTGCGTTCCAAGCCGAGACGCAAGCCGAGATACTGCAGCCGTAACCGCTTCCGCCGCTCCTGCCTCGGCGCTGATGCCAAAGAGGTTCCGAGCGAAGTAAGCAGGGCTGCCCCCTCCGCTGACTGCGCAAAAAAGTACAAGCCGGCGCCGCCTGCTGCTGTGAGTGCTGTGCCAAACAAGCCTCCTAAAACCGTTGTCGCTACTGATGAACCTGAAGCGCCGCCGCCGGGAACCGGAGCCACCTCCTTGTCCTTGTTCTTGTCCGAGTCTGTCGGCTGCTCGCCTTCTTTCGGAGGCGTGCTTCCAGTCGGCCCCGGCCCCGGCTTGCCTTGCGAGCCGTTCAAGTCGTACACGCCGCCGCGTCTGGCGCACACGTCCTTGTCAAACTTTTCCGGCGCCGCCGAGAATTTGTCCACATCCTCTTTATTCAGCAACTGCACGACGGCACCTGCTTCGTTCTGGTTTCGGACATTGGCGAACAACTCGTCGACTCTTTGGCTGCAGCGCTGCGCATCTTGCGGCTGAACTGGGGCTGCATTGCAAAGAGCTTGCTTCATCTCGGGAACAAGGCCGGGTTGGCTTCCTTCCTTGCCCTTGAATTTGGCCCGCACTGGTTCCAGCGCTTTCGAGACGCGTTGAAGGCACTCGGGGGTGGCCTTTTCAATAGTGTCAATATCTACGCCGTCTTCTTCTTGCGCGCCTGATCCCTCGTCAACCGAATCGTCAGCATCCGTCAGCTCCTTTAGATCCTCCTCATCACAGTCTTCATCTAGATCACCTATCATGAAATTTCTCGTCAGCACTTTGCGCGTCTTTGATAACCGAGGACAACATGGTCTACCTTCGCCGCCGCGAATATATAGATTTGTCCCCCCTCGGATCATGAGCAAGGCTGAGCCGTGCTCCATCGGCTACGTTGGTTACGGAAGCGCCATTACAAGCAACTCTACCGCTAACCTGATGAAGGCAGAGCACGGTGCTCAGTAGCACATATATATGCTTTCCGTTCATGATGGTAATGACAGTACAAGTATGGCAGTTTCAGCTTGAGAAATGAAGTGATAGTCTTGGCGAATATTCCCTCTATTTGCCGACGAATTCAGCAGCTCATGGGGAAGGAAGCGATGTATATAACATGGCAGTCGCTTGCTTGCATTGCTCCCTTTGACAAGTCATCAAGCCCGGCAAATGATTCCTTTGTTTTCCTAGCTGGCGTTGGCGCCATGCGTGGTCTATATGCTCGAGCAAAATCGACTGTGCCATCAGTAATGCACCTTGTTTTGCGACTCAGCCCTTTGAGGCTGCTTCTCGACATGGTTACTGGCGCTGTAGATGGCCAGATGCAATGTTAGCCCTTGTTACGTCTAGCCTAGCTGCAGTGTTGCAAATCGGGCCATAGCCAGCAAAAGGGGGTTGTTTATTCTATGCTTGGCTCGTCCTGGGCTGATTTGACCAAACTATCTTGACTTGGTCGCTTTGCATATACGAGACGGCAATGATTGAAATAATTCGTAGCATACATAGATCTCCACAGAAACGGGCAGCTACGCATAAATTATCCTGTGCTTCTGTATAAAAATATTGGCTCTTGCGTAGTAAATTTTCCTAGTAGCTATTTCTCTACCGCCCCTTTGAATCTTCCATTTCACCAGTAATAATCTTGTCTGGAATCTCAGTTTGGAGGACCCCCTCCGAGTTACGATACTCGTCTCGCGAATACAGCTCAATCCCGTCATAACCACAGCTACCAACAGCATTAAAGAGAGTCCACGCCGCCTTAAACGGCACGCGCAATTTCCACCAGATTGTCCCTTCGCCAACTTCAGCCGGACCAACAATAGGCTCGACCCAAACTTCCTGTGGGTGCGAGTAGTGCAACACCACGGCAGATTGCGCCTCAGACTTCTCATCTAGTACAGCCATCCAATCGCCGGCAAGACTGGTCGAGTCTCCCCCTATGGACCTTTGAATCAGCGGCCGAATGAGGTTCCGCAATTCACAGTCAGATGTAGCTTCAAGCCCCGTGTTGAAGTCTTGCACTGGGGGCTCGGTTTTCCATTCATCTATGCACGCCAGGTTGACGAAACATGGACATGTTCCTTTGGAAACAGCCCTAGTGCTTCTCCCAACTGCGGTCTATCAGCTGCCGTCTGGTCTGTGAACTGCCTACAAGACTATAATCTGGCGTATTCCCTAACATGGTAGTCATGGCCGAGAAATCAGCGCTTTTCTTCTGTGTCTGTTGCACCAGAGCGGAGAAACGCTGGTACATGCCTCGCGAGATTCACACCAAGTTGAATTCACGTCGAGGCGCACCCAGACCACATTATACCATAGGCGGCATTGATTAGAACAACACACAGTCATTGGAGCTTGGCATAATTGTCGACATCGTCTTGAAACATCACGGATATTTCTTTCCTGCTCGGAATGTTGACTCAGTTGTCCTTACTCGGAGTCTTGTGCCGTCAGTGGCATGACTGATGCGCCATGCTTCGAGGCTGCGCCCAACGCCGTATAACCTTGACATCAGTTGGTAATAGTCGTGGACAAGAGGCTAAATTTACTTGAGTACATGGTGATAGCGTATTGGTGCCTGCCGAATTGTAGGATATAAAGAATGATTGACCCTCGGTAAGTATCCATCAGCTTCCGTCACATCGACAAAGAAAGAGATATCCCTAGCACTTTTTTATGACACAATCGTTGTACTTTTTCTTGGAAATGCAACTCATTCCTTCCATCGTGCTAGTTTTCTGTGCCCTTAGGATGCAGGGAACCCTAGCAACGGTGATAAAAGTGTTTGCGATAAGAAATTCAGTGGCCAGGGTGACTGGGGTTTCGACCTGGCGGATTACGCTTACAAGTATGACAAGGCAGGAAAGAAGTATGGCCTGGTTCCAAGACCTTGAGAATTTTGTACTAGCATACTATAGCGGGCGAATACAATAGATGGCATGGCTACTTACCACATGTAGTGGTTGATAAGCGAGCTGTTAGAAACTAGTGTTATTTTCTTATTAACTTGACTCGTGCATACCCTAATTTGTACTTGTATTAAAAGCGTTACCAATCAAGACGTAAAAAGCCGAGAATGGAGTTTTTATCCCTGAGACCAGACAAATTATAGGGAGAGAGTTGGCTTGTATAATAGAAAACTTAGTGAAATTATTTAGAACCTATAATATATTAAGAATTTTTTCTAAGTTTACTTTTAACATTGATAATAATGCAAGTATACTATTGTCTTGCGTGGTTAGTTACGGTTCCCTGGCGTAGGTACGGCCAAAGTACAGCGTTACTAGATGCCCTCCATCTAGCCCTTTTTTTGATTTTTTTTAAATAACTTAATAAGTTAATAATACAAGTATTTTCGCTTACTTGTCGGAATGATTGTGATCGTGAGAAAGGGACGACGAAACCCAACCCTGGCGGCTCAGTTTATCGCGTGGACGAACCCGCTGCATGTGATAACTTCTCCGACCTTGCTTGGCTGAGATTGACTTGGGCACAACTGGCTGTTCGCTATCCTCAGAGACCTGAAGGCCGAGTGGCTGAAAAAAATATGTGGTTCTCGCCGCCATGAAACTGTAAATCAGCCAACAGCGCGCATAAAGCGCGAGCAGCGAGGATCCGTAATTCGATGCTGACGAGGTTATCAAAGGGTATCATCAAGTGGGAAATATATGATAGAGGCTATTAATTCGTGTGTAATCCAGCCTCGATGCCATGTCGCGCAGCAGAACCTCGTGGAGTTGGCCTCGACCAGGCATCGAGACACGCGTCTGTTGAGGCCGGGGATTCCCGCGCGCGGAGCCGTCTTCTAGAGGAAAAGTATAAAATACGGGCGAAGAACTAACCAGCGAGATGCTGATGTCAACTCGCATACCTCACTAGGCAGTACAACCCCTCATCTCTACATGACCTTGTGAGAACTCAAGACGACAACTCTCCAACTGTAGCTCTCAGACTCGTCGAGGCTTCATTTGCAAAACAGTACCACTCACTTATTCAACATGTCCAAGGTCTTTACTGTTTTCGGCGCCACCGGCAACCAGGGCGGCTCCGTCATCAGAGCCGTCCTCGCAGACCCCGTCCTGTCCAAGGAATACAAACTCCGCGGCGTCACTCGCGATGTCAGTAAACCGGCCGCCCAGGCACTCACTGCCAAGGGCGTCGAAATGGTCAAAGTATGTGAAAACAAAACACACAAAGTCTTCAGACGCCCGGGACTAATACCCCCAGGCCGACATGTCTTCCCCCGAAGCAGCCGCGCCAGCCGTGCAAGGCGCCCACTCCGTCTTCCTGGTGACCAACTTCTGGGAGAGCATGTCGGACAAGATTGAAATCGCGCAGGGCAAGGCCGTCACGGACGCCTCCAAGGCCGCCGGCGTCAAGCACATCATCTTCTCGTCCCTCATCAACGTCACCGAGGCCAGCAAAGGACGCCTCAGCCACGTCACTCACTTTGACGGCAAAGCCAAGATTGAGCAGTACATCCGCGGCAGCGGCATCCAGTCCACCTTTGTGCAGCCCGGCATGTTCATGAGCGGCTTCGTGAGCTTCATCCGGAAGCAGGACGACGACAGTCGGGCCTGGGCCATGCCCGAGGGCGTCAAGGCCGACCAGGCCAAGATCCCGCTGTTTGACGCAGCCACCGACACTGGTGAGTAAACAATGTCTGCATCAAAAGTGAAGATTTGTGTCTAATGCGTCGAAAAGGCATCTTCGTCAAAGCCGCGCTGAAGAGCACCGCTGATGGCAGCATCATCCGTGCCGCCGCTGACTACTACACTCCGTCCCGCATCATATCCGAGTTTGAGCAAGTCACTGGCAAGAAGGTGGCGTTTCGCGAGGTGCCTCACGAGGCGTTCAAGGCGGCCCTTCCGCCGGCTGCGGCACAAGAGTTGTTGGAGAATATGCTTCTGCTCCAGGAGCCCGGGTATTACGCCGGTGCTGACCTCAAGGACAGCCTTGAGCTCTTGGGACAGGACAAGCCGACTACGTGGAAGGCGTTTGTGGAAGAGAACAAGGCCAAGTGGGATTAAACAAGTTTTCGATGGGAAATGAAACATTGTTGATGCAACTAGATTGATCTGGGAAACCGCAAACGACGCTCGACCAAGTATGAATTATTTGTGTTATTTATCTGGCTGACTTGTCTGGTGTGGAGGTGATTTTAGCTGTAAATGAAGTCCGAAGACGACAAGGTTGTGACACGATAATGGGAACTCTGTGTTGAATAGCGACCGTGAGCTGACCGACAAGAATGGAAGCAGGGCATAATTCGCAAAGTTATAACGGTGCCCTGTGCCACGAGGAGCAACTCTAGCAGAGGCTGATATTGCCGACTTTGTATCGAATACTACCCGCGCAAGCTTGTGCAACGTCGCCGACGCCAGGGGCAATACAACTGCATGTAATTTAACGGACCTTGGACGTAAATGTGCACGCCGTAGTCTGGGTTACATACCGGGCCCGTCGGCAATCCAATGTAACCGAGACCACAGGGCAACATGCCAGATCAACGCCAACATCGAGTCGACATGCAAGGGAACCTCGCCCGTCGCATACAAAGAGTCGTGAACAAAAAGGAATATGGCAAGCATTTTGTTGCGCAAGGCCGTCCGGTGCCAGGTTGCCAAGCGCCGATGCAACTTGCAGTCTGAATACTGATCTGGCTCAATACTATTTGCCTCCCACTGTACAAGCCCTCGCGGGATATATGGATTTTCCCCCATCATCTCGGACGACTATTGGCAGCGTTCATCCAATGTCAGCCGGCCATGCAGCCACGATACGGCGCAGATCTTGCCCGGAACAAGGCGGTGTTTCAGAACCTGCATCTCGGCACGAGGTGATATCAGGGGGCCACTGAATACAACCACACAGCGAGTCGAAAAAAGCAGCAGCAGCCTTTCTCAGCTTCACTACACCTCTATACAGCCTTTTGACAACCCTGAAGTGGTTGGGGCCCTGCTGGACGGCGTCTCTGTCGCACGAGGTCCAGGCAGCATGACCTGTCTCAGCCAGCGCCGCAAGACATGCAAACAGAACACTGTGTTTCAAGATTTCGACCTCTTTCGAGGACCGGAGAAGCTGCTGCACGCAAACATGCGGGACCTGGCCCTGGTCATGGTGGCCGGAAACCGGCACAATAAACGGGGTGCAGGATGCGGCATCAGGTCTCATGTATTTGACCCTGGCCGGGAATGTTGCCGTTCACCTCTCTGCACCACAACTTGAAGCCAGGCTTTGAATGGCGGAATTCCATTCCCACGCGGTGTGCTTCTTGTGATTTCTGGCGCCAGCTGAGCCCCCGACGATCCCCGACCATCTCCTACCACTCAAGCTTGACTGCCACCTCCATGATGAGAAGATGAAGGGTGCATTTGCGCCCCTGACCCAAGGAGAGGCTTTGGTCCTCGCCAATAGCAATGGCCAAGTTGCGAATCTTCCAAGAGTGTCCTTGAAGACGACGGGGTCGGCCTCAAGGGTCGCGATGATCACTGCCCAAAAGGCGACTGTGTCCGCTGGCCTGCATCTTGAAGCAGCCAGCCTTTTGCCTAATCAGGAATGTCAGTTGTGAACGCAAAGGCTTCCCAATGCCAAGTTGGTCATGTCGATGAAGCTGGACTTGACAATAGTCTCATGAGTAATAGACGGGTGCTCATGACTACAAAGATCGTCACTCTCATTTGAAATGATGCTGAGGAAAAAAACCATGGACATGTGGCTATTTGCTATTTGCCGTATGGGCAAGGTCGTGGAGAATGGCTTCCAAGTATATCAGAGGCCGCAGTTAATGACCCCAGAAAGAAATCCGTAGCATCGAACCCTTTGAACTATTCCGAGGATTCGATATATTCGCAAGGATTTTCTCCCTCCATCATACGACAAAAAAGAAACGACGTCGGGGGCCGACGGCCGCCGCAATTGGCCTTTGGAGGGGGGAAACGCAATTCTTTTTGTTTCGTGTCATTATGCCTGCCTCGACAGGATAGTATTGGGGTCCAACCGAACCAAATGCCAATTCGACGGGCCTTTGGATATGAGCACCCCGACTTGCAACGCTCTACTCGGGGCATCACGCGGAGGATTTGGAAGGGCTCATGACCCCTGAGACCCAAACTAGGCGCTTCCCAGTCGACAAGGTGAAGAGAAACCCGTGCATATAAATTGGACAAGCCGGCCTCATTCTGAGTTTGAGATACCCAGGCCTTTTGACTTGTTTCCTCGCAAACATACACCAGAGATCCTTGATGGGTCCCGTCCGTTCCTTTCACATCTTCTAAATCCTCTTCATTGTACATATTACAAAGTGTTACAGAGCTCAGTCTTGTATATCCACAAGTTGATCTTGAGCAACATCAACAGCATGATGCCTTCATTCTTCAGCATTATTGCAAGCCTTGGGCTGCTGGCCAGCGCTTCTCTTGCCGCACCACTTGCGTCTCGGGCCACGGGCGCTCAGAATGTCGTCTACTGGGGCCAGAACGGCGGCGGCGTTGTCGAGAACAACGACCTCGCGACATACTGCACCAAGGAGGCCGGCATCGACATTGTCGTCCTCGCATTCTTGTACCAGTACGGCAACGGAAACAAGATTGCCTCTGGCACCATCGGCCAGTCGTGCTCCATCTCCCCTTCTGGCGAGGGACAAAACTGCGACGCCCTGGCCAAAGCCATTGACACCTGCAAGGCCAACGGCGTCAAGGTCGTGCTGTCCCTGGGCGGCGCCTCGGGAGCCTACTCTCTGACCTCTCAGCAAGAAGCAGAAGCCATCGGCCAGAACCTCTGGGATGCCTACGGAAAGCCGGGCTCCAACCCTGCCGCCTCTGTTCCTCGACCCTTTGGCAACACGTTTGTCAGCGGCTGGGACTTTGACATTGAGAGCAACAGCGGCAACAACTTCTACCAGTTCATGATTGCCAAGCTGCGGTCCAACTTTGCCTCCGACCCCGGCAACCAGTACTTCATCACGGGGGCGCCCCAATGCCCGATCCCCGAGCCCAACATGAACGAGATCATCACCAAGGCGCAGTTTGACTACCTCTGGGTCCAGTTCTACAATAACCCCGGGTGCTCGGTTGACGGGACCATCAACTTTGGCGACTGGAAGAAGAACGTGGCCAACACGCCGTCTGCCAACGCCAAGATCTTCATTGGCGTCCCTGCCTCTCCTCTCGGAGCGACGGGAACAGCAAGCGGCGCCAAGTACTACCTCGAGCCTAAGAAGCTAGCTGCTCTTGTCGACCAGCACAGCAGCGATCCGGCCTTTGGTGGTGTCATGATGTGGGCTGCTGGTTTCTCGGATGCCAATGTGAACAATGGACGTACTTATGCTCAGGAAGCAAAGGCTATCCTGACCGCTGCGAATTCTTGCTAACTTGATGCTGGCTCTTATTCTGCTGGACAGATAGTCCTTGCTTGGTGGGTGAGCTGCAGGTCTTTTTTCTTGGTGCGCATGTCGGGTTTCTTGGCGGGCGCTTACTGTATATATATTCTGTTGTATACTTGACACATTCGTTAAAATACTACTGTTTTGCGAGAGCTGCTCGAAACGATTCTGCAAGAGATCCGTGACGTGTTTTCGAGCCTTACTATTCACTTACACGTAGTTATAAACTATTCAGAACTGGGACCAACCAGCAACCACCCGAGAGCAATATTTTTATTTTCCCTTCAGGGGCCGCCTGCGGCGAGCATAGACGCGTTATTCAGTGACTACATTGACACGTTGCCAGGTCTCTCCAGATCTCTCCAGTGGCTTCTCCGCAACGGACCGCGCCTACATATTGGGATCCATTCCCGTCCATCCAGCCCAATCACATCCATTGCCGCCAAACTGGTTCAATCCATCACGCGGACAGCGTGCCGTTGGACAAGCGGTATCGGGTCAAGGAGTTGCGTGGCTATCGAAGCCATGAGTCTGGGGCGAGTCATTGCGACTAACGGATCTATACATGGCACAAGCACCTCATATATTCACTACTATACCGACTACACAACCTATACATGTTCCTTCAGAAACGCAAAACTTCTGAGAAGTCAACCAATCACACCATGTCGTCGTTCCGACTCGCCGTCTTGGAGTGTGACACTCCAGTTCCCAACGTCGAAAAGGAACGGGGCTCATACGGCGCCATATTCGAGAGCCTGCTTTCAAAGGGCCTTGTCCAAGGGGCAAAGAATGTCGACTTCTGCCTACCAAGGTACGATGTCGTCCAGCATCAGAAATACCCTGAACTAGGGGAAGTCGACGGCATTCTCATCACCGGAAGCAGTTCCGTCTCGCCTTATCCCCGAGTTTGACACGACACCATGCTAACCTGGCCGCAGAGCACACGGCCTTCGCCGACGACGCCTGGATCGTCTCGCTGGTCGAGTACATCCGCAAGGTGCTGAGCACCTCCAACACCCCCGTCGTGGGCATCTGCTTCGGCCACCAAGTCATCGGCCGCGCGCTGGGAGCCAAGACGGGCGTCGCACGCGGCGGGTGGGAAATCTCAGTCGAAAAGATCGAGCTCAGCCCCGACGGGCGGAAGCTATTCGGCGCTTCGTCCCTGGTAGGTCCGCTCTTACTCTTAAAGAACCGACGCTAATGTAGCCGGTAGAACTTGCACCAGATGCACCGTGATGAGGTTGCCTCTGTGCCCGAGGGCCTCGTTTGTCTCGGCAGCAGTCCGCGGTGTCCTGTGCAGGGCTTGTACAAGCCCAAGTCTGTCCTGTCGCTGCAGGCGCACCCCGAGTTTGACGGCTTCATCATGGAGCAGACTCTGCGCACGCGGCATGACCAGAAGATATTTGGTGACGAAACGTTTGACGAGGTTATGAGGAGGTCGGACAATCCGCATGATGGGACCATGGTTGCCGTCAAGATTTGGGATTTCTTCTTGGATGCTATCGCTTGAAGTCGGGGCGTTGGCCGCTGCGTGTTTCTGCGGTACGAGTAGATTATTACAACGTTTCTATGTGTCTGTTGCTCAGTCGGCCACTGCGTCATGTTTGATCTTGTGCTTCCCTGCCGCTGCGTCCCAGAGTCGAATCGCTGTAGTTCTTGGCGTTGTTTGCGGAAACTCAACTCTGGTACGGTGTATCCGCAAGCAGCGGCTCATCTTGTCATGGCATTGTCCTCGGTCCTTGACATGCTTGGCACGTCTTCCGAGTTGACGGCAGCAAACCAAGGTATGGGCTTAGGCGGCAATATCCGCAGGAAATTGGCCATCCTCTACCATTCCCTTGCTGAAATGTGAGGCGCTTGAATCGGCCTACGACTGTATCAATCCCACTTCTGACTGGAGTGTGCTGTATATGTTCCGGTGTCGCTCTCATACTGCTGCCACGAGTTCTGAACATGAAAGACTGATACACTACTGGATATCCTCACGCAAAAGATATCCAAATCTCGTATCGTTGCATCACCGCCCGCAGCGTCCAGGGACTGATGTCCGCAGGCGGCTGCTCCCAAACATGTTCCAGCAGTGTCAGCGTCTGCCGCATATTTCCCAGCCCAATCGTTTCAATCATCGTTTCTAGACGAGCCCGCAACGTCTGCTGTACATCTGGGTTCGTTGTGCAGCAACCTATCACGGTCAATGGCCAGCAGAGACTGGTATTGACCCGTTCCGACGCCGGCAGTTGGTTCAACAGCGCCACAGCCTCCAACACGGCACCGTTCATGAGGTCTGCTTGCATGGTCTGCTGCGCTGCCTGTCGAGGCGTGCCAAAGATGCTCCAGAGGTAGAGAAGCGTTGCTTGCTTGAATATGAGGCCGGCCAGTTGGCTGTTGGTGCTTGCCACGAGGGAGGGAATGAATCCCAAGATTTGCGACTGCAGCAGGCCAAAAGTGATGATATCGTCGGGTGAAGTGGCCAGTCCGGGCTCGTCGCCTGTCCGCAGCATGTTGTGTCCGAGCTGGAACACTTGGGGTATCAGCGTCAGTATTTCCAGCCAGCACCCGCAGAGCTGTCCCATGTAATTCTTCTCCAACAACAGTTTGGCGGCGTTCTCGATGGCCGGGCTAAGGGCTGGCTGGGAGCTACCTCGCGGGTCTTTGGACATCATGCTAGATGCCACCATGTGCATGTAGTACTCCACGAGAAACTCTGGCAGGTCGTCAGTGGATTCCGGTCCAGGTCGGCTGAGGAGACTTGTTAAGAGAGATTTAGACGCTGCCAGATGATCGAATATAGTGCCGCGCACATCGCCTCTGGCAACCTGGATTGTGCAATGTCAGCCCTCGTGTAATCACGGCTCTTAGATAGCACCAACTTGTACCTCTGTTAGACATAGAATAAGACTGCCGACAGTCACGACAAGATTGGTGCCTTCTTTCCCTGAGACATATTCCCCAACGAGATTCCGAAACATTCGTAACGAATCTGCGTAATATCGGGTTGCCACTTCGCCGCCCGATCCGCACTGCTTGGCGGATTGTCGATGCACAGCGCTTTGCGCCAGAATAAGATGCAATACAAGAGGGTCGGAGAAGGCAAGAGGGATGAGTTTCGCAACAAACGGGTTAATGTCTGTTGACCCGTTGCCCATGCTATTCGCCGTGCGTTCAAGGTAGTAGCTCAACAGCTCAAAGGAATCATGGCCATGCGATGGCAACAGGCTCATATTCATGGGGATGTTGTCGTGTAGATAGAGGCTTTCGCCGCTGAAGCCTTCCCGACCAGGGATAAATGCGAACGGCGAGATGCCAGATACGTCCGACATACGCCGCTGTTGCGAGGCACTATCCACGTCAAGGGCCAGAAGACCCCCAAAGGGCGACAATGGAGATACTGGAGACACTGCGTTATCCAAGTCATCCTCCGTCTGGTCGCCGTTTCTGACGCTGCCACCGCTGGCCCCAGACGACGACCCATCCGACGGTCCATTGGAAAATCGTCGAGCAGCCGAGCTCTCGCCATCATTCTGCAACACAACCTCCGCTCCAATGCTCCCATGCCGAGGAGACGCCGCCAGCTGTGGCCGCTGCAAGGCCGGGCTCACTGGTGATTGTACGTCATCTTGCCTGGGTGAGCGCGGAACAGGCGTTGCCGCCGCGGCAGCAGAAGCGGCAGGTTTTGACGTCGTCGATGGAGCTCTCTCCCGACCACGAGGCTGTCCTTGTCCATGTTCCCGTACCGGCAACCCGGCCGGCCAGTTACACTCCAACTTGTTTCGCTTGCATCCGCTGCAGACGGGCTTCTCCTCGTTGCACTTCTTCTTCCGGCGCCGGCATGTGAAGCAGCCGGTCCTGCTGCGGATGATGGGCACAGCCCTCATCGTGTGAGATGGTGCATGAGAGTAGGCACTGTTTCGTCTGAAAAGCCGAATGCTTTCATGGATAGGGCTTCTGGGAGGAATTTCGTCACGGATTATGTCGCGCGTAACGGCAAGAAAGTGAATCTGCTTCTCCAAACTAACTCACCACAAACAAAACCACGGCCCCAGAAACCATTTACGATAAGGAACACCAATCCCAGACTCAGCCCTTCCGCAACAGAGCAACTGGGAGTTATGCGGGGCGCAAGAATTCCGGGTTAGTGCTTCGGTGGCCACAAACCGTGGTTCCACATCCACATGGATGGATAGAGACTCGCTCGCCACTAAGATGCGGCTGCTGGACCTGTGAGACTGGCCGGGGGACTTTGGGGAGCGTGGTGGTTGCGCCACATGCCGTAGGTGTGGAACGGGCAAGCCGGATATCGACCATGACAAGCTGTTCGGAGTTGATGACGCTGGCAAGGTTCAACCGACGGTCAACAGCTCCAGGTTATTACAGATTGTCTCCGCATTTTCTTCCAAGAAAATCCGGGGTACGGAGATTGATGCCATTGAGATCGTTCTCGTGACGCATAATGACCTTGGATCTAGTAGAATCTATCCCATGACAAAACTATCTTGGCACATGTCGAAGTAGGGACTACAAGGAAGACGTGAGGATTGACTTGGAACAAACTAGCCTTGCACTAACAGCGCTGCGAGATTCCCTTTTGCCATTCTATCTTGCTTGACCTGAAAGAGCTACACTCTACTTCTCCTCATGGCCAACAGGTTCCACCACAATGGCTTTAAGGAAAAGAGTCCATACATTCCCCAGAAACTTGGAGGTCTAGACAGGTAAAACTACGAGTACCAGGGACTTGGCCTCGCTAGCATCCTGTTCAAACTGGCCAACGATGCAACGGACCGCGGCGGGTCTTGAAAGCTTCAGCCACTTGAATTAGATGCCGCGCTGCGAATGTGGGCCGTGAAGCATCCCATGCTGTCTCGACTACTTTGAAAGCAGAGCTTCTGGCGTGCTTCTAGAGTCAGCTAGTTGACCCTCTGGTTGTCTGAGGAGTTTGTCACACATAGATCACGCGACAGCACATATTCTCCGACAACCATGCATATTATCCGTTCTACCCTGAAATTTAGACCGCCACACGTTCAGATGAATCGTTGTACTCGTACTCAGTCTCCTCGTTCTGCTATGATGTTGGGGCCATGACTCTTGGCAATGATGTTCCAAGATGGCTTAGCTTCCGAGTGATGCAAGGTTTTTAACTTGGCGTTGAAATACGGCTTGGAAGTAAGGTGCTTTTTGACGGTCACCTTGCCTCTTTTATCTGTGCTTTGTCTTTCGGTCATTCCATTATTGGGCCTTTTGCTTACCCACATTGTGGTGGAAACATCACGGCAACTTGCACAGCGGAGAAGGAAGCTGCTGATGATGTTGATGATTGAGAAGTCCTCAATATTCGACCTTTCTATCACTGGCCAGAGCCCCTGGAAGTCTCTGTCAGGGCTCCTTTGGCCCGAGCCCTAATTGAGCTCTCGAAATGGCATTTATCTTGACCAACAGGCTCAAAAAAGTCCTGTTTATTCCAACTTCTTGGAATTGACGAGAAACGTTCTCAGACGGCTTCAATATCTTCTCCAGAGGTGCGCTTATAGTTCTTCGAGTAAACACCCCAGAAAAGAAGTGAAAAATATCTCCGGAGCCTTTATTTCAGGGCATTACGGTAGAGAAAGGATAGAAGCTGCTTTGAACGCCTATAAATATAATGACCATCGTTTATATGAGGTTAGCTGGGTAAAAAACAAGAATCACCAAGTATGAAACCGGTTATCAGGCTTAACCACTAAGCAAATGGGGTTAAAATATCCAGAAATAGCGGCTGTCGGCCGAATAGTTCGATATCCAGCCTATCAGTATGCCCTTTGGTTCTCTCCTCTATATGTGGCCCTGAGACCCCTGTGTCTTTTTGACAAGGGCTGAGACATTAGCTTTTAGAGTAATAACTCAATTCATCTAATAACGGCCTCGTATATTAAAGGACCTTGGTTCTCCTCGGGCTCTTTGCACCGACGGTGTCACACGGTCAAAGCTCAAAGCTCAATAATCTCACCACCCAACAAAGGGGCATCGCCGATACAGGTCCTAGAGGGTACACAGACTGGACACATGACCCGCTGGGAGCCTTGGGCACAGCTGTTCCTTTCATGTATATATAGTAGTCACCGATACCTTCCTTTCTCTTGGAAAACCAAGAAGCTTTGACATCCTATAACATCATTATTGAATAGAGTCATTCCACTCCAAGCCCTTGATATCAAGCCCTTATCACAGACGGGTCTTTATCGGTATGAGACAGCGGAGGGCGTCGTGACCATAGCCCTCGTGTAACTATCGTCAGGTTCAAAGGTCGGTCCGTATCGTAACGTGTAACACCTATGTCAGTCTTGGGTCTGCTAGTTGGGCATATTGCAAAAATCCTTCCGTTTTCGTGATTTGCCCGTCAACGACCAAGTGTCAGAGCCACTTCACACTTAGTTGCCAATAGGTAGAAAAATATTCTCCGTTTATCTGTCGATAAGCCTCATGTAGGCAATAACTAATCCGCGCGTGGAGAAATATTATTCCTCACCATAACAGAGGGCGAAGGGGCGTGGCATCTGCAGTGTCACACTGGGCATCAGGCCGTAGAATTACTGCGCGATGATTGGAATTTGAGGTCTGCTGCCTGGCGCTTTACTAGTCTCTTGGGCGCGCCTTGGACCCGTTCTTTGCGATTATGATCATTTACCTCTCAGGAATACTGGCTACCTCTATGGCTTATTTCTCATTGCTATTGCGCACATTGTGGTTGACTTCTTGCGCTTCTGTGCTTCTGTGATAATGCAGAATCTCGCAACTTTGCCAAGAAACAAGACAAACATTCAAATGGCTTCCAGAAAAGACGCTTGCCTTATCCAGATTCACCATTCGCCCAACCTCGAGACTGATGTCGATATCATCGCGATCCATGGCCTAGACACGAAAGCACCAGACATGTGGACATGGAAGGATCGTCATCATCCGAAGAATAACGTTAACTGGCTAGAGAAGGAGGATATGCTCATGCTCCCACATGAAGTTGGCAACGCGCAGATCTTCGTTTGCAACTGGGAGGCCGGAATGTTCCAAAAGTCCACCAATCTTAAGGAGTCTACCCAGAGCTTCCTTCGCATTATGAGACCGCAGCTGAAGCAAGAGGAACGCGGCGCAGTAGGAAAACCTTCCTGTTTATTGCGTCGTGCTTTGGGGCACTATTTTAATGAAAGCCCTCGAGATCGACAACACATGCCGGGAAAGGACACTGATAAAAGCGACACGAGGAATCGTATTTCTTGCAACGACATGCAAAGGGACTTCCTTTTAGAACGTACCTGATGCTGCTTTAAAAGACATAGCATTGTTTCGAGACCAGGCGTTAACAGACCTCATCGATTACGTAAACGAACCAAAAGCCAATGCCAGCGAACTGTTGAAACGATTCTTAGACATAGAATCAATAGAGCGCCATGAAGTCTGTACCCTCTGGGAAGCTTAAGGAATCAGCAAAATTTACATGGCTTGGTTGTTTTTTAAGCGGGCATTTGCGCTTTGAGGGTCGGTATTGAACTTGTTGCCAATAACAAGAGGAGTAGTACACAGATTTCTGGCATTGACTAGTCCACCCACACATCCTTTTTTTTTTGTCACGAGAATGGTTCTAATTTTCCCCTGGCTACTCGTTGTCTCCTTTATCGGCTCTTTGGATTCTGCTTCTATAAACCCAAGCAGGCAACAAGCATTCTGAGACCGGAATGGTTCCGCCGTCTTACGTGGTAACTAACAGTTAGAGAGTTGGTCGATGAGAACTCAGCAACAGCTGGTTGGACTTTCGAGGGTCACGGCTCAGCCGATCTCACGGCCGCATGAACAAGTTTAACAGCCCTAAATTCCCAGACTACATGGAGGTTTCCGAAGGGTTTCAAAGGATTCTGGGTAGTATTCGTAATGCGGAGACGCCACTAGATCGAGTCGACAAGCAAATTATCGAACAGTATCGAAGCGAGAAAGACCGACGCCTCAACATAGAAAGGCTGTCTGGGCAGAGGTTGTCGATGGAAAAGTGTTATATTAATATTGCTATTGTAGAAAAATTTGCAACAGCTCAGATTACACCAAAGATCGACATGTGCCATCTCTCTCCGCCCGCCAGAGGGTAGAGACTCCGGCACAGAAGCTTCAAGTCGAGCTATTAACAATCTTCGACCAACGCCAGAAACCAAACAATTTTATACAACCAAGGAGAATATTGATCCGCGGACGTGCTAGAGTTGGTAAAACTACACTATGCAAATAATTGTCCATGAGTTTATCAATGGCTCTTGGAGTGAATGGAGCAGGTTGTTTCAACGCGTTCTTTAGGGGGCATTACGAAACCTGAAAGACGGCAAACACGCCACGGATGGATACGGCGCGAAAGCTCTATTTCGTCGGGAGTACTTTTCTTGTTCGGACGGTAACCTGAATTCTGCCGGAATACTGTTGAATGAATTGGTGTGATAAGGGCTTAATAGAGGGCTTGGAGCAATTTAGCTCAATTCATCTAATAACAGTCTTTGGCATCAGAGGCCCTCGGGTTTTCCTCAAGGCCTCGTTGACCAAAGACCTATTCAAATACAAGAAGTCGGTGAGGGACTTTGCCCTAGGTCTCGTGACCGTAGCCCTTGTGTAACCTTTGACATTGGGCCATTTCCGTGTAACACGAGATGTCATCGCCAACGTGGATCCTATCCCCGGCACTACCAGCGGCAGCACGGTTACATCCTACACCGAATATCCGGGCACTGGATTTGTCGGAGAGACAGTGGGCTGGTGTGCGTTTATGTGGGTGGCGGTGTATCTCTGCCTGTTCAAAGGTGTTGGCGTGACCGGCCGCGCGGTATGCTTTACCAGGGGACTGCCCGTGGTGATGATGTTTGTGCTGATAGGACGGTCTCTGTCGTTGCCCAACGCCATTGACGGCGTGAGACTGTACTTTGCGGAGTGGCACGGCGACAAGCTGGCCGACGTGCGGATTTAACAGGCGGCCTGTGTCCAATCTTCTTCTCCATCGGCGTCGGCTTCGGTTACTTTACAGCCTATGCGTCTCACAGCCGCTATTCCAACGCTGTTTAGGACACCATCATCACCTACCTCAGCAACTCCGTGTATGAGATATTAGCGGGCTTTGCCGTGTTTAGAATTGTCAGGTTCTTGGGCTTTCGGCCACAAGACGACGTTCAGCTCACCACCTTCTCCGTCGGGTTCCTCACATATCCTCTGGCTATTGTCGAGATGCCGGGAGACAATATTTGGGCGGTTTTATTCTTCCTAGCTATGGCTCTCTTGGGCTTGAGCTCGGCCTTTGCCCTCACCGAGTCCATGGTCACTTTGCTCTGTGACTCTGACCCAAGTAAAAGAATTCCTCGCATTGTCATCCCCATCGCCGTTATTGTCATTTCCTTCCTCGTATCTCTAATGTAATGCTCTAATTTTGGCTTCTATCTTTTAGACGCCACAGGCACTTGGATCAACAATCTTTCACTATTGTTTGTTGCCTGGTGTGAGGGCATGGTGTGCACCACGCTATATAGACACAGTGATGTGCATAAACAAGTTGGCTGGGCGGCGTTTTTGACATACACAGGTTGCTACCTCATGGCCATGGTGCTTGGTGTTGCGAGTGGTCACTCTGTAGGTCCAAGTGCCGGAGCCAGTGTAGCATTTGATCTCTTCATTGTCGGCGCGGTAGTTTCTGTCCTTGTTGCGAAGACTCTCGACTCTGTTCCTCTAGTGTTCTGGGGCAAGATTAAATGGCTAAGCAGGTTTTGGTGGGATGCATTTTATTCGGTACGCTCTATGCTTCATTTCCTTACAACTCTCTGATGGGGTGCTTGAAATACAGGGCAATCAACTTACGCGCGACCTCAACTCGGTCATAGCAACCGGGAAGAACTGGAGCGTTCCCTTCTTCTGGGCCCCCGTCATTCGCTACATATCATGTCCTATTCTTTCCATCATCATGTCTTCCGCGTATCCGGCTTTCTACAAATTGCGGATGGACCCTCTGCATATCTTTGCATTCGCAGTTGCGCATGTGATAATGGTTATTGTGGTGGTTGGCCTCATCTTCCCACGGGCATTTGACATTTTTTATCCCACCTAAACGACGGGAGAATGAGACCATGGCACACGCTCCCCAAGTCACCATTATGGCGGTGAGTGATGGTAGCCCGCCACAGAGGCCAGAGAGGGTAGAGACGAAAGCCGGGACTGCAGTAGCAAGGGGTTGGAGGAAAGCAAGTAAAGGATATGTTGGTAGCCCACATCAAAGAGATGTTGAACGTTGAACGGTCACGTCAATCTGATGGGGGATCGGCATTCTGTGTATATAAGTCTCTTGGTGGTAACTAGCTCGTTAGCAGTTTGCTCGGCAAGGAGATACACTCTCCAGCCGAGTATGAATGCAGACGTACAAGACTGCCAAATCATCATTGTAAAGAACTGTCCCCTATTCCCCACATCAGACGTTCATGAACACCTTGTCCCTGTCACCTAAGTGACAGCCCTTGGGCGACGCCCGGAAATGGAATCAGCCGGTGGCATTCATTCTTTTCCAGGAACCAAATCCACCCACTTCCTCAGCAGGCAGCCCGTCAGATGTAATGATGCCCAAATGGGATCTCCTCGTTTTCTGTCGCCCGCCTGTTCTAACCGTCGCACCATGCGGAAAGAGCAAACGATTGACGACGTTTCTACGACCCATCCTCGATCATGCTGGACTGGCTGTGCTCGGCAGAAGTGAACCCGGGGAGCTGTTGAACGACGGCATGCCGCAATTCGCGGTAAGATGAAAATCGCACTAGCATCCGCCACCGGACTTCACCAGGGTACGTGGTTGCGTGAGCCTGGGCTGGCCACAAGCCACCTTCTTCTGCCCATGCTGGGTCGGCAACCAAAGGTTCCGGGTGGTCGAATGGCCTTGATAGGTTGTGCGGGCTGAATTGGACTTGAGTTTGGATGGAGGCGCCACTGATGAGCCGGGGCGGTGTTGGCTTGCCGTGGCGTAAATAATGAGATGGACGGAGTAAGATGAGAGACGAGCCAGGCCGATGGTGGTTAATGGCATGGAGCTCAGCCCCGCCCCATCAATTCATGCTGACGCCCTCGCCCGCAGTGTCTTCAAGTGTTTCCGTCTGGTGCCGTCTGGTGCTTGGACTCGGTCGGCCTGCGGTAGATGGATGCCCTGATACATCGGGACTTCATTTCTCAACGTCGTTTTGTCGTTTCAAACTGGGCCGGCGGTTTGCCTTGTTCTTGCCCAGATTCTTGCCCAAGACCCTGATATAGACCCCAGCGATCGCACCTTCCTCGCATTCTGCGACCGGAGACCAAATTTCATTCCCGACCTCGACATCCGCCTCGCCACGGAATCCCTCAGCAATCTCCTGCAAGGTCATGTCCAACATGCTTCGCAAAAAGGATGTCTTTACGGTCATAACCCCGATTCCCGGCTTCATCCCGCGCCAGCTTGCGCTCGATATCCTCCATTCTCACAGCGAAGTCATCACCCTCAATCCGCTCGTCCTCGAGCACAAGCCCATCTCGGCCCCGAGAAATGCCGCCGCAGACGAGTTCTACAGCACTTGGTACGAGATTACCGAGCGCATTCAGTTTGTCCCCGGCGTGGGTAGTCTGGGCTCCGGCAAGATTACCTTCAACGGCTGCTTTCACGACATGCCGTGGGGCTTGCAAACACATGTCTACGCTCCGTTCAACGTCGATATGCGATCAAAGTACCAGATTGGCGGCAACCAACCTGGTCTTGAGCCTCCCGAGCAGCGCGAGATCGGCCTAGGGGCTCCTGCCGATGGGCTTTACCTTCGGGAGGATATCGAAATCAAGTGCAACATTGCCATGGTCAGCTTTGTCAAGTCGCAGGCCAAGGCCGCAAATAAAGCGATGGTGCAGCGAATTGTTAAGAAGGCCGAGCTGCTGGACGCCGGTGTTCTCAAGGCCATGATGGAGCATGGCAAGCTAAAAACCATCAACCCCAACGATCGGTCAAGGCTTGAGCGAACGAGCACCGTTAGTTCTGATCACAGCCCCGGCATCCCTAGTCCACAGTTGGCTTTCCAGCAACCACAACCTTCGCCATATCAACTCGCGGCTTTCGCGTCACATCCGTACCATGCCCAGCAGATGTACCAGGCACAAGGACAGGCTGGGCCGTACAACTACGACAAGCATACGCCGCCCGTGCCGCCTGCGCCCGTGGAGCTGCCAGCCGACATTCAACAATACCAGTATTATCACAGCCAACCCCAATCTAGGTCTCCCCAGCCTCAGGAGTACAACCCCAGCTATCGACAGTCAGCATCTTCGTCCGACCCACGGTGGTCGCTGGGCCAGCCTAGTCCGTCACTGGCCGATACACATCGAACCAGTACTAGCTCAGTACTCAGTGGTGCTGGCAGTTTTGGTCATCCATCACCAGGTTTGCAGAGGACAGCATACGCGCCAGAGTTGGCTGCTCACACGGAATCGAGGGACGAGCACAAGTGAATCTAGAGCTGTCGCACAACAACAATAAAGCCTCTAGTTTAGGTCGCAGTCTAGGATCTGACTACTACGCGCGCAAAATATGCCTGTTTCCAACAGGTGCTCTAGGGCGAGGAAATTCGCCCTGTTGCAGCCAAATGGCTTAGCCATCTAGTCGGATTCGCCAATGCAACACACTTAACGATCCCCATGTGGCCGCGTTTCACCGAGTCGTTTCCGATTTTGCACCAGATGCATTGCATTCGCAGGCTTCAATGTACCATCACCATCTGCTGGATGGAGACGTTATGGGCTTGCTGAGATGCGGTCCTGCGGCGGCCCACCCTTTGCTACGTCAGCCGGACATTTGGCCGCTCTCCTGGAGGCCAACATATCTGATGTCGGGGGAGGATCGCGCACATGAGCCACGAGCCCGAATGTCGTTACAATGTCAATCTCGGTCTTTCAACCCCACAGAACATGATGCCAGCTCCAGCAAGCTCCAGCACGCAATCTGCAATGCGACCGAGAAGACGCCTGGCGTCTGTCATTGCCGGCCAAATCGGCCATGGGAGAAACACAGGATACTTCCCACGTTGAAAATAGCTACATTCAACAAAATACGTTGAGGGTTTGTGGCATTACCATGAGGCATGTCCTGCACGGAATACACGCCACGCCTATTTGTAATGGTTGCAAGAAATGAGATTGTGAGGCAGACGTCACGGGAGGCGGCTGTAACCGCATATGTGTGGTTGCTGGACTGTAAAGGCTTAACGTGAATGAAGAATTTGGTCAGTCTTTCTTGGATGGAATATGCCCGGGCTGGGACCGTTGGAAATATGTATGAGTGGATTGTTATGTGTGAGGACTACAAGAATAGAGCATGTCTTGGAACAGTTATAGTTAATGTCAATCATTGCCAATATATTACGACAGAAGTATGTTCATAATATCCCTCATTTGATAGCCAAGACCAAGTCTAGCAGCCGCGTCCAGACAGTCCCTTGACATGAAGACTGGCATCTCGAGCGGTAGAGGAGTCGTCGATGCCGTGTCCGATTCTGCCACGTGTCTACGAGAGGTAGTCGCACCTTACGCCATTGGCGTTTGAGCCGCAGCTCGACCGCACCCAATTACCGATCTCCAAAGTTCACAATCCTCGCCCCCTCGGCATTCACCCACCCATTGCTCCCATACGCCCACGTATTCGAAATGTCAATCTCGCCGAAATTCGCGAGCGGCACATGCCCACCGGTGTAGTCGCCAAATTCCTCCAGCACAAAGTCGGCGTCGGTGTTGCAAAGCGGCCTCTGATTGTAAAACTCCTGCACGACCATTTGTCCCGTCGTGAGGTTCTCCAACGTCGAGTTGCCCGAGGTGGCCGACCACGCGTGGACAGTCATTCGGACCTCGTCGCCGGCAGAGGCGCGGAACGGAGGATTCGCGTACTGGTACGACGGGGCCGGCCACCATTCGGACCACGGGACGACGGCGCCGTTGCCGTAGAAGCTAAGGCCCGTTTGGAGGATGGCGTTCTGGCAGCTGAGCCCGTCGATGCCGACCCACGCCGATATGGCCGAGTTGGAGGGCTGCCCGGCGATCCAGGACACTCTTACCGTCCCGGTGACGTAGCTGAAGCCTCGGCCTTCCTGCACGGCGCCGGCCCAGGGCTGCTGCACTTGACGGGCGACGAGCTTGTCGGCGCTGGCATCAGACGGTCTCCCTGGTCCCGGTGTTGCTAGGACGCCAGGGATGGAGGTGGTAGGCTAGGCTGATTGCTGAGAACTTGATATCGAAATTGGAGATTGAGATTGTTCCCTGGATGTAGTGGTTTTTAAGATGCTGGTATTCTGAAGATGGGTTGTACGCCAGGGGCTATATCAACGAGGCCCAAGTCCGGGTTTATATGCCCCTGAGTTTCGCAGGGAGAAGGACTTCCCGGATCACTATATCACAGCTATTCCATATTTTGCAGGTCGGCGTCTGTATCAGGAACTTGGAAATGTGTTATTGCCTATACGAACGGCAAGTATGGAAGGTCGGCGAGCGTGCTCGTAAAGCCATCAAGACTTGCACGGCTCAAAGCAGCCAATGTGCCAAACGAGGCAAAAGTAGCGTTATTCGCGCGTCGTATGGCCGGCTCACCGGCTATCAAGGCCGTTGGACATGCCTATTATCGTTAGGTATGCCTTTAAGATGGCCGCTAGTGCTGATGTCCGCCTCCAGCACGTAATAGTGTCTAGTTCCCTGCCGATATTTGACAAAAGATTGATGATAGGGAGTGCTATTATGGTACGACGTGTTAGTTCTGCATCTTTTTGCAGTATCGGGTAAGCGTGGATTCGTATGCTGCAGCATTTTGGCATACCTTCTTGAAGCAGACAGGGTGGTTTTGCCATCGTATGGCTAGCACACTAGTTGCGCGACAGCTGCTAATTTTAGAGGGTGGCAAGGCCGGTCCGGAGATGATGGAAGCCATGTTGGTGCCAGGCAAGAAGACGCGTCGAGAATTTTATGACTTCATGTTAAACAAACATCGGTTTTGAGAGCGGCCATGTCTGCATCGCGGCATCACAACGGAATACTTATCGTCCTTTTCCTCCGACTCTCCCAGTTGGTATCAGGGGGCTGTTGGACGTCTGAGAACATATTCAAGTATGGGGAGAGTGTTGGTGATGGCGGAAAAGTAATCATGACTAGCGGCCTTGGACTAGTTTAGGTGCATGTCGATGGGGGCAAGAACGTAGTGCTGTCCGCGCACCGAGCACCGAGAACCGCAGGCTTATCCATTTTTGATGGGATTATGATCTTAAGACGCATCCAAGTGATGTGTGATGTTGATGCTGGTAACAGCCTGGTGGCACGAAGAGCGACAAGGCAGCTTGGAAGTGTGAGAGACGGAGATCCAGCTGCGCCTGCTAAATGGCAAGTGCGTCTCGCCCGTAAATTGCGTTCACAATTAGCCCGAATTGAAAGTTGTCACGGTATTCGAGGACCAAAGGTAAGAACTTGACTGTTATCTCTCTTCATGCTTCACAATGGCACTGGGCACCTGAGGTCGCTTGTTGCTATTGTAAAGCCGAAGGGGTTAATATGGAGCAGTGAAATTTGGAGGCTATGAAGCCCCACAACGGGCCAAGCAGCGCTTCTCATAGGTGGTAGCTGCAGGTGTGCCGTGTTCAGCCGTCCAATGGCCTTCCGACGCCAAAATTTCATTTCGCGATACTCTCATCAATGCTATGATTGCCTGCGCCGGGCCACAACCAGACCAGAAACTATATCCAGATAGCGCTGTGTGCTTCACTAGAGTGCTGTGCGCTTGATTTTGACTAGCAATTGCGCCGAGTCTGAGGGTCTAAGGCGAACAGGACGCGGGACATGTCGGCTCGGGGGCCTCGAAGCTAAAAGGGGGCACTCGGTCGTTTCTCACACTTTCTTCCCATCTGAGGGCGCATCGCGACATTTTGGCAGTTTTTTATGCTGCTCCTCTGAAGCATCTCAGCCCAGCACATTGCATCGTTGTTTTGATTTATATTATTTATTTTCAAACCTTGCTCTTATTTTTTTAATGTCTTTGAATATCCTCAATCTCGGACTCTGGCCGTCATGCACCATGTCGGTGCGGGCTTCCATCATGGCCATACCTAATGTATGCCGGCGCATGACTTCATTGCAGATTTCCGTGCAGACGGCAAAGCGCAGGATAACATCGGCTGTTTCTGCATGTCCCACGCCGAATCTGTGCGAACCAACGGTGCGACGGCTCAAAAGCTCGGGGCACCGTGTCATCAACGACAACGGCAACGGCTACGGCAGCTTGAGCACGACCCAACGGTATGTCTGCACTCTCGCAATACAATGCTTTTTTGTCTGTCCTGGCGTTTTTACGCGAGAATGAAAACCCAAGCCGTCGTCAGCCGTGGCTGTTTGGTGTGGTATTGTTGTTGAAATTGCCATGCTTTGTCCGAGTTCAGCTCGAGTCCTGCTGGCGCGGGCCTCGTGGATTGTTGATGCATGCAATGGCCGAGTGAGGAAACACGGAACATCAACATGTCATGTCCTTTTGCCTCGAAGCTGCGGCCAATCCCCGACATTGAAGCTTGAAGCCGACTCCGCACTTTGATGCTGTTTCCGCGTTTGGCTCATGTTCCCCTCGTTCCGACCTCTTGACCCCTCCAAACCTCCATCCAAACCATTCATCTTCAAGGGTTCACGCCAGCCCACCACGTCGCGGAAAAGTCTGCCCTACCATACTGCACCACTCACACACGACGACCAGAGGTTTCAGAACCCCTCATTCCTCTATTGGAGATTGTCTTGGTACTACTACTCCGTACACCTCCGACCTCTTCTTGGTGTGCATGTGGTGACAGCATGCCCCCCTTGTCTCTCAGCCGAACCCGCAAGCCACCATCCATCCCCGCTCCACCTTGGCTTCGGCTCGCTTCCACTTACATGATGGCAATAGCTTCCAGCTTCCACCTTTCACCTTCTGCTTGAGCACTTGGGGCCATCACAAGATCCGCTGACACATATATTTTTCTCCTCAGGCTCCATCTTCATAAGAGATTCGCATCTACAGTCGCCCGCCCATCTCTCGTCTCGTCTCGAATTCGACATCGTCTCGGATCCAGATCCAACGGCTGGCGTCACCAACTTCGCCATTGCTCCTACCGAAGACACCTCGACAACATGTGCAGAGCCCAAGCTGGTGTCGACCAGACTGGCGGTGGTGCCGCTCCTGATAGCACCCACGGCCGCGAGCTGCTCCCTTCCAACGTCATCCCCCGCCATTACCATGTTACTCTCGAGCCCGACTTCGACAAGCTGACCTTTGACGGTACCGTCGTCATTGACCTCGATGTTGCCCAAGACTCCAGCTCCGTCTCCCTCAACACTCTCGAGCTCGACATCCACAGTTCCAAGCTCAACGCCAACGGACAGACTGTCGACCATGCCCCCAAGGTTTCCTTCCATGAGCCCACCCAGGTCACCAAGTTCGACTTTGACGGCTCTGTCCTTTCCAAGGGCTCCCAGGCTCAGCTCGAGATAAAGTTCACCGGCCAGCTCAACGACAAGATGGCCGGCTTCTACCGATCCACCTACAAGCGCGACGACGGGTCTGAAGGCATCCTGGCTTGCACCCAGATGGAGGCTACCGACTGCCGCAGAGCGTTTCCCTGCTTCGATGAGCCCGCTCTCAAGGCCAAGTTCACCGTCACCCTCATAGCTGACAAGAACCTGACTTGTTTGAGCAACATGGATGTTGCCAAGGAGGAACAAGTCCAGTCCACCAAGAGCGGCACCACCAAAAAGGCTGTTCACTTCAACACCTCTCCTCTCATGTCTACCTACCTTGTCGCCTTTATTGTCGGCGAGCTAAACTATGTCGAGTCCACCAAGTTCCGTGTCCCTGTCCGTGTCTATGCCCCGCCAGGCCAGGACATTGAGCATGGCCGATTCTCTCTGGATCTTGCCGTTCGAACCCTGGAATTCTACGAAAAGGTTTTTGGCATCGAGTTTCCCCTCCCCAAGATGGACCAGGTCGCCATTCCCGACTTTGCCCAGGGCGCCATGGAGAACTGGGGCCTCGTCACCTACCGTGTGGTTGACTTGCTTCTCGATGAGAAGACCAGCAGCGCTGCCACCAAGGAGCGTGTTGCCGAGGTTGTTCAGCACGAGCTGGCTCACCAGTGGTTTGGCAACCTCGTCACCATGGACTGGTGGGAGGGTCTTTGGCTGAACGAAGGCTTCGCAACGTGGACCTCCTGGGTATGTACCGCGACTCGTGGGGAAATTCTCACCAATTCCCCGTCGCTGAAATGGCGAATTGTTTGCTAACGTGCTTTAGTACTCATCCAATGTCTTCTACCCTGAATGGAAGGTCTGGGAGAACTATGTCACGGACAATCTGCAGTCCGCTCTGTCCCTCGACTCCCTCCGTAGCTCCCATCCCATCGAGGTGCCCGTCAAGCGTGCCGACGAGATCAACCAGATTTTTGACGCCATCTCTTACTCAAAGGGCTCCTGCGTTCTTCGCATGGTCTCTACTTATCTTGGTGAGGAGACCTTTCTCGAGGGCGTTCGTCGGTACCTGAAGAAGCACGCCTACGGCAACACGCAAACGGGCGACCTGTGGGCTTCTCTCAGCGAAGTCAGTGGCAAAAATGTTCAGGAGGTCATGAACGCATGGACCAAGGAGGTCGGGTACCCCGTCTTGACTGTTACCGAGAACGACGCCGACAGCTCCATTCATGTCAAGCAGAACCGATTCCTGCGAACTGGTGACACCAGGCCCGAGGAGGACAAGATTTTGTACCCTGTCTTCCTGGGTCTTCGCACAAAGGACGGCGTCGATGGCGAAATCGCCCTCACTGAGCGCGAGAAGGACTTCAAGGTTCCCAGCACAGACTTCTTCAAGCTCAACGCCAACCACACTGGCATTTTCCGAACCTCGTACTCCCCCGCTCGGCTGGAGAAGCTGGGACAGGCTGCCAAGGATGGCCTCCTCTCTGTCGAGGACCGCGCCGGTATGATTGCCGATGCCGGTGCTCTTGCCACTTCTGGCTACCAGAAGACGTCTGGAGTGCTCAACCTGCTAAAAGGCTTCGACTCTGAGAACGAGTTTGTTGTCTGGAACGAGATTGTCGCCCGTCTTGGAGCAATCCAGAGCGCTTGGGTGTTTGAGGATGAAGAGGTTACCGAGGGCCTGAAGGCATTCCAGCGCGACCTGATTAGCCCCAAGGCCCACAAGTTGGGCTGGCAATTCTCCGACGACGACGGCCACATTGAGCAGCAGTTCAAGGCGGTGCTCTTCGAGGCCGCCGGTCTCAGTGGTGACGAGAAGATTATCGACGCCTCCAAGGACATGTTCAACAAGTTTATGGCTGGTGAGAAATCCGCCATCCACCCCAACATCCGCAAGAGCGTGTTTGCCATTGCGTTGCGATACGGCGGGGTTGAAGAGGTGAGGGCATTTTTTCCACTCTTGTCTCCCAACACCACGATGTGCATTTACATGTTGCTGACTTGACTAATGGGAACAGTACGACAAGATTGTCGACTTTTACCGATCATCCACCAACTCGGACGAGCGCAACACGTGCCTGCGCAGCCTCGGGCGTGCCAAGCAACCGGAGCTCATCAAGCGCACGCTGGGCCTGCTCTTCAGCCCCGAAGTCAAGACGCAAGACGTGTACATGCCCGTCATTGGGCTGCGCGCTCACGCCGAGGGGATCGAGGCGCTGTACAGCTGGATGGAGGAGAACTGGGCGGCGCTCTACGAGAAACTGCCGCCCACCCTGCCCATGCTCGGGTCCATGGTCAACATTATGACTTCGGGATTCACGACGCAGGAGCAGCTTGAGCGCGTAGAGAAGTTCTTTGGGGCCAAGAACAACAATGGATACGACCAGTCCCTCGCCCAGAGCATAGATGCCATCCGATCTAAGATTTCGTGGCTCTCTCGCGACAAGGAGGATGTTGCTGGTTGGGTCAAGGCGAATGGGTACGCCAAATAAAACCTTGCTGCAGCACATTGGGCGAAGTGGGGATGGGGAAGAAACTACTTTGCTAGCATATAGAGGCGGAGTGATGGGACTTTTTATATTCCTCGGGACGTGGCAGGCGCTGATGATGGGCAGGTGGATGCAGCGTTGAGGGCCAAGATGGGAAAGAGAAGTCGTTGACGACGGAATCGTAGTAGTGTATTTACCACGTACGTAATACTTGACAAGGTCGTGACAATGGATGCAATGTGTCAAGATGCCATGATCAGCTACGGAGAATTATGTAAGTCTGTTGAGTCTATGCGGTGATGCTGCGGAGCACCTGATGCAACATGTTACGCCACGACGGAATCACAATGTGTTTACTATATACACAATTCATCAAGTCGTGGTAATATGCGTGGTATGCAAAGGGCCATGTCACAACTACGTGAGCACGGCAGAATTGTCAGTCCAACTATATACGATGATTCTGGGGAACCATGTCATAAAAAAGGCAACATGCAGGCCATTCTGCAGCGGCAAAAACAATCATATTATCTATTTACTGCACGCGGCAATGCGAAGAAGAAGAAAAGGTCATGTCGGTCAGTCGTCATGTAAAGGTCTACGGCCTCGCGCCGCCCCGCCTGTACGCAGCGTCATACAACCGCCGAATGTCGGCCTGCCACTGCCCCACACTGGGCCGCAGCACGCGGCGGTCGTAGGTGTACAGGCCATTCACCTCGCCCTCGACGTCGGTCGTCTGCGTCCACACGGCGCCGCTGCAGGCATACCGCTCCACCTGCTCGGCGAGCTCGCGGAAGAGCACCGACGCGCGGTAGTTGTAGGCGTCGAGGTCGGCGTTGACCTCGTACGTCTGGTTGATGGTGTCGATGGCCTGCTGGACGTTCCAGAGGCTGCCGGAAAGAAAGGCTTCAGTCAGCGAGGGGTCCAGCTAGACATTTTTTTTTTTTTTTCTTAAACACTCACTGCTCAATCGAGACGTTGTGCCCGATGCCGCCAAACTCGCCTTGGAAGCCGATTCGGCGGGGGTCGTACGGCGAAGAGGCAATCGAGTAAAAGGGCGTGCCGCACTGCGGGTTCGCGTAGTGGTGGTTGTCCTGCACAGGTCAGCGGTTGGCACCAGTCATCAACATGGGGGCTGGGCGCAGGCACGACATACAGAAAAGTCGCCAAAGCCGTGGTCATTCCAGCCCGTGACCGAGTCAATCAGGCGCGAGGCGTCGAGGCGGCGCACAACCTCGGTCAGCTTCTCCTCCGGGTACGGCGGACCGCGGAGCTGGCCCCAGCTCTCGTTGTAAATGACCTGCACCGTCATGAGCACCATTCACCTTTTTGTTCTTCGTTTCCGCCGGCATACGCACCCAGATGACGACCGACGTGTAGCTCTTGTGTTCGTTGACAAGCACCTCTAGCTGGCGCTGGAACTCGGCCTGCTGGGCCGGGTTGGGCGGGCGGTTGCCGTCGGCCGGCAGCGAGGGCATGTCCTGGACGACGAGGAGGCCCATTTCGTCGCAGGCGCGGTAGAACAGGTCCGGCTCGACCTTGACCTGTGCAGGGCCGTTAGCGCCGGAGACATAAGGCACAGAGTCCCAAAAAAAAAGAAAAAAAAAAAAAAAAAAAAAAAAAAAAAAAAAAAAAAAAAAAAAAAAAAAAAAAAAAAAAAAAAAAAAAAAACCTACGTGCTTGCGCACCATGTTGAAGCCCAGGCGCTTGAGCATGCGCAGGTCGTACACCATGGCGTCGCGGCTGGGCGGCGTGTACAGCCCGTCCGGCCAGAAGCCCTGGTCCAGGGTGCCAAACAAAAAGACAAACTCGCCGTTGAGCAGCGGGCGCTGCACGCCGTCGACGAGGCCGGCCGAGACGGTGCGGAAGCCCGTGTAGCTGTGCACCTGGTCGTCGCCCATGGTGAGCGTCAGGTTGTACAGCGTGGGCGAGGCCGGCGACCACAGCCGCGGCGAGCCGACGGAAAAGGTGAACTCGGCGTCGGACGGGCCCCACGCTTCGGCCACGGCGCGGCCCCCGGCGTCCACCACGGCCACCTTGACCTCGGTGCCCTGCTTGGCCGACGTGTGCGCCGTCACCTTGACTGCGCGAGATGAGAAGACTGCACTGCACTGCCTGTATCGGGAGAGAGGCCGACGTACCCTGTCCGTCCATGCCGGCAGACACGTCGAGCTGGGTAATGCGGTTGGAGGGCGCCCTCTCCAGCCAGACCGTCTGCCAGATGCCCGAGCACGAGCGGTAAAAGATGTGGCTGGGGTTCCGCGTCTGCTTGCCGACGGGGATGACGTCGGCGTCTGTCGGGTCGTGCACAAACACGAAGCTACCGATCGTCAGGCATCGCCCTCGGGTGCGAGCACGGGCTCCAAAAAAAAGAAAAAGAAAAAACTCACAGCTTGTTGTCCCGGCCCCAGTTTACGTGCTCGGTGACGTCGACGGTGAAGCGAAAGTAGCCGCCGACATTGTGACCGACCCTGACGCCATTCACAAAAACAGTGGCCTCGTAGTCGACGGCCTCAAAGTTGAGCAGGACGTGCGCGCCGCGCCAGGAGCCCGGCCCGGCGAACGCGCGGCCGAACCACATGTGCGTCGAGTTGAGGCTCTGGATGCCCGAGAGGCCGCTCTCGACGCACGGTCGTCGCGTCGGAGCTGCGGCCGCGGGTGCTCCGGCCACGGCTTCGTCCCGACCCCGTGCGTCCAGTCTGTGTCCAGCGGCGGCGTCTGCACCTTGTACCGCGTCGCCGCCGTGCCCTGGGCGCCCCGGCCGGTCCCCACGACGTGCATCAGCGACACGCCGCCCCAGAGGACGCGCTGCAGGAGATGCATGGCTTCTGCTGGGCTCGTCAGTGTCGGGCGCCGAGGGCGTTGCTGCTGCTTCGTACTTGTCTTCCAAGGGCGTAGCTTGTCCACGCGGCAATGCTCCTTGTGTCGTGTCGTGTTATCCCAAGTATATCAGCCGGGGTAGGATCCAGAGATGACGAATACTATAGAGGTAGTAGTGATGTCGAGTCGGCCAGATAGACGGCACACGCTCCAATGCTAGCTTTTATAAAAAAAAAATACACGGAAGAATGCCGCATCTGCGTCTCCCTTGTACAAAACAAAAACAGGACGAGCAGGACCATGCAGGGCAACAGGCTGGCTTAAATGTCTGACCGAACGGCAGGGGGAACCTCTCGCCAACATGGCAGTCGCATCCCCCCGCCTACGACTCATCTTGGCGAAACACGGCGCATTTTGCGCTTCGTGTCCGCGAGCCAAGACATGCGCCGATCGTGGTGACGGGTGCAATGTTGGGCAGCGCAGGGGCCGAGGTCGCTGGGCTTTTCTTTTCAACGGGCGTGGGTATAAACAGGACCAGCCTTGGTATCGAGCTGCCCGTTCTGCCCCTTGGTCCGAGGTCCTCAAACGTATTGAAGTAATGATCCGTGGAGCATCATGATGCATTCCATTTACACGCGCCTGCGTCCATCGCGCAGTGCGACCGGCAGATGGACACACGGCCGGCTTCTCCTCGGCCTTGTGGCGCGGCTCCGATTGGCGCGTCAAACATGGCCCTGGGACATGCTTGCAAGTTTTGGCACGATGCTCTCTGCATCACGAGCCCAAGGCGCATAGGTTTCACGTCGTGGGGGGGCCGGAACTGGTCTTGGCCCAGACACGACGTGCTTTTTCTTTAATCAAAGCCAGATTGACTAGATTGCGGGGTATGTTGCAGCGAGATTTGGATGGAGGGGAGGAATGCCAGCTGGCCGACGGGCAAATGGCATGCATGTTTGCCTCACATCATGGGATTCCGCGTTTTACAAAGGCCGGCCGGGTTGCAGCCGCTCCGCCTCGACGACCAATACCTGCATCATGCCGGACAGCTGGGCACCCGGTGCGTTCTTTTTTTTATTTTTATTTTATTTTTGCACCTTGACCGCTCTGCCCCAACACAAAACGGCCTTGGTGAGCGAGGGTTGCCCAAAGCGGAAATGATGCTCGTTTCGCTTTATGCCCGGCGATGCAGACTGAATTGTCGGTGCAAGCCGGCTTTTGTTGCGCTGGCCGGATAACGAAAGAAATTCCACGACAATCATGTGGCGCAATTGCGGTCCAAAGTGCGGTAGAGCCATGTCTCATTTGATTTCCCAGCCTCTAAACCACACGGGGGTTCCATGGCGGTGGCCGTCGGGAATGGCTGCCCACCCGTCGTGGCGTCGTGCTGGCCAACCCATCATGTGGCCACAATGCATTGTTCCGCATGAGTTTAAATGTGTAATGGAACCATTCTCCTCCGGGACCCCGAGGACGTAAGCTCACGCCAGCCCCCTTCTGTTACTTATATTGAGTAAGGTGACGGTGATTACATGGGTTTTTGTCGTCTTATAACCCAGAGCGTCAGGACGGTAGATAATCGCCGGCAGACTGGTCCCTCAAGCGTCGATCCCCCGGGCATGCGACGTTTGGGGAAAATGGGACATGTAGCCGTGTGTAGATGCAGACATGGGATGCTGCACCCGACTCCCCCGCGCTCACACTCGCCAATGCAATATGCCGTGAGACGCTGTGCGAGGGAAAATTGCAATAGTGCAGACGCGATAATGAGAAGAGGGTGTCGGTGCTCTGCGTCTGCAGCTGCCGGGGTCTTGTGAGGCATTTGAACTTGTGTCTTGCCTACCGGCGTGAGCCTTGATGGGCATTATTCCAGGGTCATGGAAAGAATACACAGCGGCCTGACCGACATGGCAATTTGTTCCAGTGAGCCCATCAAGTGTAGATGGACGAGTGATGAAGCGCGGCAGCAATCATCCCCAAGATGGGAGCAAGTAGACGCAGTCGCCATGCTGGCATTCTCATTATACAAAGAGATCAATCGGTATGAAGAGTCATGTCCAAGGCTTCTACGGACAGATCAGCCGCCCTCCGACACAGTTGTGAAGCTTGGTTTTTCGGCATCTAGTTAAAAACGTTGTATCAAGCCAACACAGCATCTTGGAGTGAATTAGATGAAGCACTTCTCACAGGGTGCTGCATCACCACCTCATTCTTCGAAAACTGCCCAGGCAATATCAAACACAATCAACAAAAATATTCCTCCTCCACAGTCCTATTCTTGCCTCGGGGCACAGACTCCAAACCGCTCTGCGTCCCGCAACACCCTCTCGCCGTATAATCGCAGCAATACCCCCATCTAGCCTTTTTAAAACCGTCTACACCTTAACCACCAATTTACCGCCGCTAATCTCGCCATTTCGCATCCGGTCCAGCCCGGCATTGACATTGTTCAGCCCATACTCAATGTCGACAATGTCCGGCGGAACCAGCAGCCTCTTGTCCAGCAGATTGGCCGCCCAGGCAACGAGCGCGTCGCCAATGGCCTCGACCTCGTGAAACAGCTTAATCGGCAGCGTGTGCAGCAAGACGTCGTCGCCCTCGTAGCCCTTGGGCAGCCCAGCGAGCCCCACGAGGTGGCCGCGGCGCCGCTTCGGCCGGCTCGGCGTGACAGCCAGAGGCCGTGTTTGGCGCTGTCCACGACCACGGCCACCCGGAGCCCGACGAGCCTCGCCAGCTGGATCGCGAGGTTTGCAGAAGTCGCCGAACCTGAGGCACAGTCAGCCGATGCTCAAACCCCCCCTTCTCGGCGTGTATTTACCGCCCCCATTTACAGCCGCCGAGCCAGTCGCCGGCCCCGGGCCTCTCGTCCGGCTCCAGGCCGTCCAGGCACTCGGCGGCCACGTCCGGCGGCAGCGTCCCGGGCGCGAGGCCGCGCACCGCCCGGTACAGGTCCGGCCCGTCGAGCACGGCCGAGAAGTCGGCCCCGAGCGACACGCCCAGCGCCAGCGACGCCGCCGCAAACGCGACGCCAAACGCCGACCCTTGCTCGTAGGATATGTGCGCCGGCAGCCGAACCACCGTGTGCCCCTGGGCCACGACGAACTGCTGGTACGCCGCCTTGCGCGGGTCGCGGTAGTCTGTGGAAATCACGGCCACCTGGGGGTGATGTGAGTGTACGTAGCAGGATAAAAGAGAAAACAGGAAAAAGGACCCCAACGGGCAAATACACCACTCACCCTATCGCCCACTTTCCACTTTGTGTTCCCGGGCGATACTTGCGCCACCACGCCCGCCAGCTCCCTGCCCGCAATATACGGCAGCTGCGGCAGCCCAAAGCCAAAGTCCCTGTAAAAAACACACAATCAGAACAATATTCCCTCCCCATGGACGAGATTCACACAGACGCACGGTGCCTTCCAGTCAATCGGGTTCAGGCCAATAGCCCTGTTTCTGACCAGGATTTCCGACTCGTGCGCCAGCCGCGGGACGGGATACTCGTCGACGAGATGGTAGCCCTGCCTCGGCGCACGCAGGAGCAGCACCGTCTGCGAGGGAGGAATGTCCGCCATGTCGACCTCGTCTGGTCCTTGCGCAACGTTGCCCATTCTATACCTACTCTGCGGGGAGCAAAAACGAGTTTTTGATGAGAGGGTTGGGAAAAGCGCACGCTGCGGCCGCTTCCCGTGGCCCCCTCCCGTCTTGGTAGATTTGCATTCTGGGACGCCATGTACCTGCGTCATGGGCCGGCAATCCAACAGCACGACGCTGCGTTTTTTGTGTTTGCAAGACGACGAGACGATGGCGCAATTCGAGGCATCGCGTATCCGGACCCACAGTGTCCCCCGTGCATCTGGCCTTCTTCACGGGGAACCCTGTGGGCAGGGACAGAGGTTACCTGCGAGGACGGTGTTGATTCGTCGTGCGGTCGTTGTTTCGGATTCGGCGAGCACGTCATGTCGGTCTAGCCGACTTGGCGGATTTGCTGTTGGCGCGTCCGGAGGGCCTTTGTTAGTAGCGGGTAGGAGACGAGTATGTGTCCATTGGCTTTGTAGTATTGAAATTGCAGGTGTTTATTGTACGGGATAGGAAGAATTGCGTTGTGGATTCGTGTGTCGCGCAACACTTGTCACGCTGCTGTTTCTGTCAGAGAGAAGGGGGAGAAAGGGGCACACTTGTAGCTGTATGAGGGCCACTATTCTTGTGACAAGGGCTCAAGGAGAGCTTGGAGTCGTGGCTCAATTCAGCTAATAGCCGTCTTTGGTATTGACGGTCCTCGGTTTTCCCAAGGCTTGGATGGACCACAGAGCTCTATAAATACAAGAGGCTGGTGAGCCTCGTGCCCGAGGTCCCATGATTATAGATAGCCCTTGTGTAACGTCCGTGTGACATGAACTTGGCGCATTGCTATAGATGTCCGTCTTTTCCTGATTGTACGGTAGAAGAGTACAGTTTCCAAGTCGATTGGCCTCCTCTCGCTGCTCAACCTGACGCATCCTGATTAGCATTTATAGTACATCGCAATTATTCAGCTCTCACACCATCTACAGTTGGAATGCTGATTACACTCGCCCTCCGTCCACCCCTATGGTAAAATTCAGCATCTATCGGAAATCAAAAATCTGTTGCGAGGCCGCCAACTCTCGAAACTGCGGCCTTGAAACGCCTGGTGCAGAGCCGGTACACTGTTTACAAGAATCGCAAATATCCAGTCCACGACGAGAAAAATCGTCCAGTTGCTACATGTGACCCGCCTTTCCTAAAAGGAAAAGAGTACCCTGGCATACAACAGGGTACAAGCACCCATAAATCACTCACAGGAACCGTTTATTATGCTTGCCGGCGGGACTGAAGATTTGCATGACGTTTCTAGACATTGGCAATCTGTATAACACTCATCTTTCCCCCAGCCCTATAATGAGTAGTATTGCCAAAAACGAGCGCCATCTAGATATCCCGCCGACTACTCAGGCAGCTTTCCAGATGCTAACCCAATCCGTGCCCTTTCCTACTTCGTGGGTCCTTTCTGCTTTCCAATGTGCAATCCTTTGGAAACACGGACTTTCCACGACCTTGACATGGTCCATTAAAAGATTTCCTTGTGCATCGTAAGGCTGCTCCGAACCAGGGTGCCCCAAATGGGCAACGTACACTGGAGATGGCACACCAAAGGGCGGACCTCCCGTGTTGGGCGCCTTACATGTTGGGAACTCGAGGCAAATCAGCCGGGACTCGGGGTGTGGCGAGACCAGTTGCAATAACCGCAATGCCCAGTGATGGCGCATAGCTGGAGCCAAAGCACAAAAGAACTAATGCCCGTTTAGTCGTGGGACGTAATTTCCGTACAACATGGATTTTTTTCAACACGGACACGTAGCCAACTTACAGTGTAATCGTAGAATAACTCAAAGGTCCGGCCACCGTCGACCTTGTTAAGCCAGTCCTCTTTGAAGAAATCACCCTGAATGAATGTCGCTTTGCCAGGCCCAATGCTAGCGTCTTGCACCGGGTATTTCTCCTTGTTTCCTTGTGCGAATGCTTTGCAGCAAGCAATAGCTTCTAAAGAGACTTCAAGTCCAACGGCGTCGTAGCCAAAGCTCGCGAGGAGAAGCACATCGTAACCACGCCCACATCCGGGAACCAGAGCGCGCTTCCGACGTGTTTCCCCTGTCAAGGCATCTGTAATGAAAACTGATGGGCCTAAAAGATCCTTGTGCTCCTTGAGCGCGTCTTCAAGTGCTAGGCTGGGAGTCCCTCTGTCCCAAGGAAGAAAGTCACCTTTATCCCACAGAGCTGCCCAGCGATCGTTTGCGGGAGGACCATCGCCAGAGAAATGCTCCAAGAGACGCGACCTGGCATCTGCGGTGAGGATTTCAGTAAATGCGAGTGTGTTGGGTGGCATTGTTGCGACGAGGTCACTTGTAAGGGTGTTGTCTTGTGTATCCAAGGCCCTGGGTCTCAAAGGCTGTACTTGTACAAAGAGTCGGCGAGGGTCGGAGGCCAAAGGCAGCCGTTGGGCTCGGGGTATGTGGCATTGAATTTGGCCCCGTGATGCTTTATGTACCTGTTGGTGCTGAAGCGGGGTGCGGTTACAATATTGGCTTTTCGGGCACCCATGGGTGTCACTGCGACATGTATACCTAGGTAGGTATACATCCATACATGTACTACGACGTTACATCTTAGCCATGGGTACCTAGTTTTGCACCCTAGGCCGAATCGTGGAAACTTTCCTGCTTGCTATTTACTTGGTGTGCTCCGTAGCAAGGTATTTATCACCTCATGAGTAGCCGATATAGGCTCGCCTTTGTAACCGTGATGACTCCAACTAGATGGAAAAAAAGAAAAAGAAAAAAAAATCAAGAACGGACCATAATAAATACACTTGGCTATTTGCGAACTCCCATCCAATTTTACGGCGGCGACTTTTATAACAGAAATTCAAACTGTAGTTCTGACACGACAATGGCCCGTCATCTACCCACCACTATACCCGAGAACCTAGTGGAATGCAAAATGGCCTCCAATCCGACTACAGACCAAAAGTCGACTTTTCGAGATTCAAAAGGCAAAATTCCGCCAACACGAGTGTCTAACCATGCCTACCCGCATACCAAGCTTAGGGCGGCTCTGCATCCGTCATGACGGCTATTTGAAAACGAAAGCAAAGTTTAATTCCACACGCATATTATGATGGGCTTGTAGCCTAGTATATTTGCCTCCCCAGCTGCTGGAAGTTGTAAAGATGCCTGATAAAGCAAGGTAAGCCGCCAGGGCAGTATACTGGATTACCGAGTGTGATACCGGGTATTCCATGTCCTTGCCGGTCCAACTACTTGACGCACGTCACGCCATCAACATGGCAAACAAGCGTGCTGTAAAACGCAACGTGGCGCCGTCGACTGTATTAAATTACGGATATGAGTCAATGTATTCGCTTCGCCCAAAAAGCCCAATTACACAATTTCCCAGACTCCGCTCCCAGATACCCACACGGCCCCTTGTGAAATAGTAGAATAATAAAATAAATAACTGGCAGACCCAGACCAAAGGAAAAATCGCCTGCCGCCTCACCAGGGACGGTACTTGGGCCACTCAATGGCCGCGACGTCGTCGTAGCACTCGGTCTCGTAGGCAAACTCGTGGCTGGACAAGGACCCGTCGGGCAAGTCGTCCAGGTCGGCGCACTGGGCAAACAGGCGGACGGGCACGCAGTTGTCGGGGATGGCCTCGGGCCCCCGGAGCCCCAGGCCGAACTGCTTGACAACCAGCCACGGCCTGCCGCCGTAGTAGGGGACGCTCTCGTTGCAGACGGCATACGTCTCGGGGTACATGAAGGTGTAGGGGACGGACCAGCGCGTCAGGCCGATGCCCCTTGCGCCGGGCCCGGCGTCGAGGTGGGCGGTGCTCGCCGCGTCGGAGCCGCGGTCCTTGCCGAGGCTGACGCCCCAGGGCGCCGAGGGCGTGCCGGCGTCCGAGACGACGGTCGAGTTGGCAAAGTGGAACTCGAGCGCCGTGCCGTTGATGTAAAAGGTGCGCGGGTGCTCGGTCCTGTCGCCGATGCCGAGCAGGGACTGCCCCGCGCCGACGTGGATGCTGTTGACGTACTTTTGGTGGATCGACGGCGAGAAGTCGCGCGACAGGCTGGTGACGTTGACGACGAGCTGGAAGCCTCGTGATTTGGACGTTGGCGGCGTGGCTGTGGGCGTGTCGCGGGGGGCGAGCATGGGCGAGGCCGCCGGCGGGCACGCAGTTGTCGGGGATGGCCTCGGGCCCCCGGAGCCCCAGGCCGAACTGCTTGACAACCAGCCACGGCCTGCCGCCGTAGTAGGGGACGCTCTCGTTGCAGACGGCATACGTCTCGGGGTACATGAAGGTGTAGGGGACGGACCAGCGCGTCAGGCCGATGCCCCTTGCGCCGGGCCCGGCGTCGAGGTGGGCGGTGCTCGCCGCGTCGGAGCCGCGGTCCTTGCCGAGGCTGACGCCCCAGGGCGCCGAGGGCGTGCCGGCGTCCGAGACGACGGTCGAGTTGGCAAAGTGGAACTCGAGCGCCGTGCCGTTGATGTAAAAGGTGCGCGGGTGCTCGGTCCTGTCGCCGATGCCGAGCAGGGACTGCCCCGCGCCGACGTGGATGCTGTTGACGTACTTTTGGTGGATCGACGGCGAGAAGTCGCGCGACAGGCTGGTGACGTTGACGACGAGCTGGAAGCCTCGTGATTTGGACGTGGGCGGCGTGGCTGTGGGCGTGTCGCGGGGGGCGAGCATGGGCGAGGCCGCCGTGAGGCCGGCGAGGCCGAGGATGGCGGAGAGGTACATGTGGAAGTGGGTGAAGAAGTGGTGACGAGAGGTGCGAGAGGTGATGGTGGCGGTGATGGGAAGCGACAGTGAAAAGTGGTGATGAAAAGTGTGATGAGAGGTGACGTTGACGGTGATGAGAGCGGTGACGGCGATAGTCTCAAACAATCAACACGACCAAGTTTGTATACGCCACCCTTATCAACCACGACGAGGACCAACGCTTCTTTATATCTTCCCGCCAGCCTCGACAATACCAGCCGAGTGACACTAATAGGCGAGGCACAGGCGCACGAAGCGTCAGCTGGCTATGACGACACACCGTCTCCGCCCGGCATGAGCCAGAAAAGCCAGGCAGCACGGGAGGACGGACGGCCGAATGCAACCCCGTGCCGACAACTCGAGAGATGGGACCTGTCGCGCCGAATGCTGCCTTGGCATCCGATGATACAGACGCAAGATGGCCTGGGCGGATGTGTGTGTGCGCGCACGGGGCGTGGTGACGGAAATAGAGACGAGAGTGACGTCGAGACGAAAGGGTGAGAAAAAGAAACGCATTTGAGATGCAACTTTATTTGATCATGGCTGCCATCATGGCCACAATGCAGCGTCAACTCGGCATCGGATCCCAACCACCAGGGCTTCGCCAAGATCACGGCTATTCCATTCAACGGACAGGGTGGACGTCGTGGCAATTTGTTCCAACAAAGTCCAGATAGATCGACGTCCCGTTTGCACCCCAAGCCACAGCACCGCGGCCACGGGCACTCGGGCACTCGGGCACCCAAGGCCAGTCACAAATGGGACAAACAAAGGCCAAATCACACGAGTCTCTCCGAGTCCAAAGAACTGGCCAGTGCGCCCGTATTCAGTCCGACTGCGGACATGGAATAACTAACCCTTCTTTGTAATCACAACTACCTAGGTACTCCGTAGGCATCTACGATACGCAGTACAATAGGGGACGCCAGTATGTTCGTGTATTTGATACAACGTCCAGTCTGCAATTCATCTCCGCATCCCAACCGACTGAAACTATGACATTGCAGGGTGCTGGTGGTGCAAGGTAGTGTCACCACTGTGAGACGCCAGCCTGCGTTGCGACAAAAGAAAGAAAGAGCCTTTTCCCTGCTGATTCCTCACAGCCGCGCCAGGGTTCCAGCAACCTCATCCGCCATGGCCCGCCCAGCCGCGCGACCAGAAAAGATGCATCCTCCCAAGAAGGTGCCCTCGAGAGAATTGTAGCCGTGCACACCACCGCCCCCGAACCCAGCCACCTCACCGGCAGCATACAGACCAGGAAGGGGGGTCCCGTCCGCACGCATCACGTTGCTCTGCAAATTCGTCTCAATCCCTCCCAGAGTCTTGCGCGTAAGCAGATTCAGGCGCACGGCAATGAGCGGCCCCTTGGACTTGTCCAAGAGTTTGTGCGGCTTTGCCACTCGCGATCTCTTGTCGGGCCAGTACAACCGACCATTGTTAATCAACATGGCTTGAGCGTCCTTGGAGTATGCATTGTCGAATTGCGAGTCTCTAGTCTCAATGACCTTTTTGATCTTGTCCAGTTCCAACGGCGGTCCATTTCGTTCTGCAGCAAGCTTGTTCATGCCATCAACCAAGTCTTCGAGAGTATCCTTGACAATAAAGTCCTTGCCGTACTTCATGAAATTCTGCACGGGGACCGGCCCTTTGCTGCCAAAGATTCGGCCGAGAAGCTTCCAGATACTCTTGCCGGTGATGTCTGGATTCTGTTCAGAGCCAGAGAGGCCAAATTCTCTGGCAATGATGGTCTGGTTGAGGACGAACCATGTGTAATCGTGGCCCGTGGCGCAGATGTGCTTCAGCGTGGCGAGCGTGTCTGACCCGGGGAACAAGAAAGGCGGCAGCCTGTTACCGGCAGCATCCAGCCACAAAGACGAGGGAGCGGGAAGAATACGAATTCCGTGATTTGGCCAGATGGGGTTCCAGTTTTGCAGCCCCTCGGTGTAGTGCCACATCCGATCGCGATTGATAAGATGCGCTCCGGCCTTTTCTGCGATGCCCACCATTCGCCCGTCGACATGAGCGGGCACACCAACCACAAAGTGTTCGGGCACCTTGGGACCAAGCCGGTCCACTGGCCACGATGCTTTTACGGCCTCGACATTGCCGCCAATGCCACCGGATGACACCAGGACGGCGGCGCCTCGAAGCTCAAAGGTGTCGATTTCTTTGCGCGACGACTTGACGCCCCGGGCAGCGTCGTCCTCTTCCAATATGCGGCCCTTGACGCCAATGGCTCTGCCCGTCTTTTCATCGACGATAATCTCGTCAACCGCGTGGCGGTGCTTAAACTGCACTATGCCCTCCTTGGCAGCGTTCAAGACGGGTTCCTTGAAGATTCGAACAACCTCGGGGCCGGTGCCCCACGCAAGATGGAACCTCGGCACGGAATTGCCATGGCCGCCAGCCCTTCCATCGCCCCTCTCGGCCCAGCCAACACTGACCAGGAACCCCAAGCCGAGGCCCTTGACGTAGTCTTCCATTTCATCTGTAGCGAAATCAACAAATGCCTTGGCCCACTGTCGTGGCCAGTGGTCCTCGTGCTCGCGGTCAAACTGCGCCGAGTTGAGCCAGTCTTGCATGGCCAGCTCTCGCGAGTCTTTAATGCCAACGCGGCGCTGTTCGGCAGAGTTGACAACGAAAAGGCCGCCGAGAGACCAAAAGGCTTGGCCACCAATGTTGTTGGCGTTTTCCTGATCAACAATAATGGTTGGGACTTTGCGCTTGGACAACTCATATGCTGCGACGAGGCCCGCCAGGCCATGGCCGACGATGATGACTGGTTTCTTCTCGTCCGCCATGGCGTATGTGGTAAGTTGATGGATGGTGGATTGGTCCGTGATTAGGTAGTCGGTGCGAATATGTGAGTTGAGAATGACGGCAGGACGGTGTTGCAACCTTATGAGGGATCAAGATGGAGCTCCAAGCCTCGGCCCAGAGTCCGAGGTTGACAAGGGCTGGGATGATTGTAATGAGGGACTGGGTTGGGTAAACCGAATACGGGTGTTGATATGGAGAGAAACTCCGGGTAATATTCAGGTAGGTACGTCGGCAGCTAAACGGGGATGAACGGGCCCAGATGTCAATTGATGTGATGGGCCGCGTTGCTGGTGGGGCAAGTGACGCCGTCAACACTCGAGAGTCGGAGTCGAGACGCGACAGGAGACGAGACTTCAAATGTTGACGTTTGATGGGGTGCTCTGGCCCTGAATCAATTGGCAGAGGCAGACTGCTATCGATGAGCATCAGTCTTTCTTCCGAGTCGACGTAGTACGCAGTGCTGCGCTGCCATGCAAAGTTGGAACAATGGCATTGTGGCTGACTGTACGGAGTACCGCCCATGTCTCGCGGAAAGGAGCCAGGAGCACATGCGTTTTGCAGGTCCGTAGGTGGTCACTGGACGGCAATCATGCCACTCCAGCACGTTGCAAGTGGTGCCATCCAACTGTCGAGGTGGGATGTCGTGCATTTGAGGTACCGTCAAGTCGGGGTAGTTACCACTTGACCTCACATGCGAAGTTTCAAGTGCAAACCAGAGCCAACTGCACGTGTCCACTCAACAGGGTAGCACGCGGGTTGCAAAAAAGGCCGCACACCTGTGTGTGTGGCTGCGGGTGCGGAGTGTGCGGCCTTTTTTTGCAACCCGCGGAGAAAACGGATTGCTCCTTCCCGATGTCACCTCGTCAATCCCTCACCATGGTCACAACTTCAACCCTCACTCAACACAAACATGCAACCATGGCAGAGACTCATCAAAGTCCTCAGTGGAGAGTTGAAAGTCGCTTTTCGAGACTATTTATCTACTCGCCATATACAATGAGGCGAGGCATACCAGCTGCATACTTGACTCTTTGCTGCTCTTGACTCCTGACTCTTGAGTCTTGTCCGACACTGCGATCCTCCACAGCTATGCTCAGAGCTTCGACACCACAAATTCCGCAGATGAGTCCGCATCCACAGCATATGTGATATGCTGCGGTGTGATGAAAGCACCTCCGTCGCAGATATTGTCACCCTCGTGGCAAACAATGCTTACCCTGCCTGCGTCAATGCCTCGCACCGGCTCCTTGGACATTGGGTCTCCGAAAACGACGACAGCCTTGACCTTGGACATGGAATCGGCGTCAAGATTCTTGGCCGCATTGTGAACAGCATAGCCCCCCTGAGAATATCCGCCCAATATGAACTCTGTCTTGGGACATTCGGCAATGGTGTCGGTGACGATTTTAGCCCTGGTGAGTCGTGTCAGCACAGCGAGCACATGCTTGAATTGGTTAGGGTTAACTTACATGGTCACTCCGGCAGCTGGGTCTGCCCTAAGGTATCCGTCAACCGTTGCTGGATACTCAACGCCCTGAATTGCGACCGACTTGGAGGACCCGATGGCCGCCTCGAGAGCCCCAAAAAAGGGTGGCCCAACTAGAGTACCAACATTACCGGGATCACAAGTGCCTCGCGCGAAGACGACCGTGACGTCGGCACATCCCCTACGGTTGGCATTCACTTTGAGGCCAAATGCCGCTGCCAACGCAGTTTCACCAATGCCCAAAGCTGTGCAAATGCCATTGACGGGAACATTTACGGGAAATATCTCCACAATCGCGGCTAGAAACGCATTCAGGTTAAAGTCCCGTTTTTCAATGGCCGTATATCCCACATCCGACACCGGAGCACCCGCGGCGAAACTACAAGCCAGGCTGGCAAGAAGTGCCTTTGAGAAGTGCATATTGCCGGTATCAATCAAGTATGTAAGAACACGGGGGATGAAGAGAGAAAAGGAGAAGGCCTCAGAAAGCAAACTCGGATGTAGTGTCACTTGAAGGGGGGCAACCTGTCTGATATCCAAAGATACGCACCATGAAGCTGAGGATGTCATCGCCCTCTTATACTTTTCTTCATTACATGTTCCCAGTGCCATGCAGCATATAACTCGTTTGCTCCCAGGAGAAAGTCGGGCTTGAGTATCCCGGATTGGAATGTAGAACAGAGTCGGAAGCATTCTCGATGGGCGAAATAGCCTGCCATGATTGGAGCATCTCCCGGCGCTTTTTCTCGCGTCCTGCACCTGTGTGTCTCACTTCCACAGCTCGGTGTGCCACACGATGCGCCCTAGCATCTGCCAAGCAGCGGTCAATTCTCTCGGACGTTATCCACGGCTAGCTCAGACCGTCAGATGGGCCCTCTAAACACATCGTGGGAGCTAACCATGCGGTGCAAGGGGTCTTTTTTCCCCCGTTTAAAGCTTGAATTGGAACTGCCGGTTGTTCAGCTGGTGTGGGCTGGGCTGTGAGTCCTTACCCAGACGTGACGCCTCTTCAGAGTCGGCTGGAGGCTGAACCCAGCGCAAGATATAGAGATACATCAGGGCCAGGTCTTTGGTCCATACGACACTCAGATATTGAGCTTCCCGAGCTCAATCCACCAGACTGCCGCAGCTCAAATGCTTACGTGACTGTTGTGTCAGTCCTGGGCGGCAAGCATGCTGGAAGATCAGCAGCAAAGAACCAGACACCCGCATTTACAACCAGTTGACCCTTGCACTACCCCAGATGACAGATCCTGCTAATCTTCATTCGGCGCGGATCAAGCCGTAACAGGCACCACGTCCGATTCCACAACTCAAGGTTGGGACTTGGCCCTGCTGACCATAACCCATCCATCACGTACCATTCAGAGCCAGGGTAAGGTTACAAGACCTCGGCATGCAAACAGGGATCACACAGCTGCACATGACTTTTTTTCCCTTTCTTTTTACTAGGCAAATAGGCGTCAAGAACTTAGACCAAGTTGATCTTCTACGACATCTTGTCCGCAAATTTAAAATCACGGCAATCTTTATTGGCTGGACCATCTGTGGGAAGCATGCGCCTTAGGCTTGACTATCTGCGAGCTCGGTAAAGTCACCGACCGAATGAGGCATTTCGTACTTGAAATGGAACGGCGCAAGTGACTTTCTCCATGGTACCTGAGACTGCCTATAATCCACGCCACAAATAGTTTGGAGTTGGGATCAAAAGCATAGGCTTCGCACTGCATCAATATAATGTGACCCGGGAAATGTTCCATAGATGGCGTTAGTCTTGGAAGGTTTGCCTCGGGCCTTTATGCTGTTATATTCGTTGACGCCAAAGGATACCATCACTGTTCAGAACCGTGCGCCTTTCCTGGCCCGTTTCAGCCTCATGTTCTCAATCCGTAATGTGTCCAAGTCAGCGGGATAATTTCTAACCCGCAGCCACCAGGCTTGGCGGCGTGACCATACCGTACCCTAGCTTCCTATTTTGGAAAGAATAAAGGCATTTTAAACGCCCCATATTCACATGAAATATCGAATTTCAGCCCTTTTGGATGGAACAAAATATGTCGGTATATTGCCCGAGTTGCAGATTTCTCCGCAGAGGATTACACCTGTCGTTTCAAACATGAATGCCTGTTGGCTTTCCCAAGAAATTCCGACCCGGGGAAAAACCACAGTCCGTTATTGTTTCAAGCATAGCCATGGATGGGCTTGCTGGGCTCCTTCTCGAGATGTTGCACGGACGACGTAGCCAACAAAAGGAAGACAATCGGCAGGTGGAGAAAGTGGCGATGGCCTGTGAGCTTTTGAGAGCTAATTTCATGTTGAATGACACTTTGGAGCTGGGCACTGAGTATTGGGACAGCTTGATTGTGGGATCATGTGAAAATCGAAAAAAGGGCGCAATAAAGAGCTACAACTATCTAGGAAGCAAAACAACGCACAATATCCACTACTGTGAATAGCCCCAGGGTTCCAACAGACATATACTATTGGTACGAGATGTATCCTATGCCGCGTCAAGCACCAAGTCCCGAAGTTCCTAGCGTTGTGTCGGGCCATGCGCTTTGCAACAGGGGCATTCAACATGCACTCGTTCTGGAACCTGTCATTGCATGCCCACGTCGCATCCGAGTGTATGGTTGACAGCGTCGTGGCGCGTCGGGTGCAACAGCTTTGCGCGAATATGTACTTGATCAAAGACCCCTTCATATGACAGTCGGCTAGAAGCGGGCGTGTTCTTGGCGCCGAGTATATTGCGGCATGTTGAGCAACGTGCCACGAGATGACTTCGAGATCCTGTGGTTTAACCAAGAACTGGGTTGGGGTAAGATGTGGTTTTCAGACTTGTCTTGCGCAACAGGTAGTTGCGGATATGGCAAAGATGATGCTAAACGTACTAGAATATCAAGTTCTTTTTAAGAGTCAAAGTACTAAGTGTCCTATAACGGCACTGGACAGTAGTTCCCTCCACATGGTTCGATTTTACGCCGGCCACGCGATGGAATGAGATGGACTCCTTCAACTAACTCTGCTCTTATAATAGTTCTTTTCTATATTCACTATTGCGCTAGTAGTGCTAGTGTCATATTATTCAATCGACAATTCAAATACATCAGCTAGCACATGGAAACAAAACATAATGCAAGAATCGGCCGGCCACGCCCGAGACTAACGGGCCTTGTTCTATTGGGGAGACCCGATTGGATATCCGCGGGAACGAGGTGCCCGTGCCTCGCAAAGACTTGTATGAGACAATTCTGTGTTGAAAGTCGGCTTATGTTTCCGTTGGAAGCAGCCTTTTGTTCAACGTCTTTGCCCTCGGCGCACGTGCGTACCGATGGCTAGAGTGTATCGCCAGGGGACTGCCCTCTTTCTTTCTTGTTTGTCCGAGTTCGTACAAATAGACACAAGGTGGGAGCGCATGTGATTGCAGTGGCATGTGGACCAAGCCCATAAGCTTGGAGTATCGAGGGACCCGTCGTGTTTCTCCGTCTGTGAATGTTGATGCCTATGCTGGCACCTTTCTGATGCTACCTGGCAAGGACTCGGCTGGCTGTGCGCGATGCCAACACTTTGCCCGGATCTATGATGGCTGAATATAGCTCTAGTCTTGGTTTGAAACGAGTCAAGCGCCGGCCTTGGTACTCGCTGGCAATTCGGCAGGTTCAGCTCACCAACAGTACGCTGCACAGCTAGATGCTCAACAGCCCTTTGGCGGATTCATCCCGTCGGAACTCGGAACCAGGCACGTATATAAAGTTCTTGGGGACACTAGCAGCCCTCTCTCTATATTCTTCAACCCGACGGCCAACCCGCAATGCAACTCGAAACTACCACCACAACCACAGTGCGACGCCCATGATGCTTTGCGAAATCTCGGCCCCGAATCCCTGCCGATCCCTAATTTATTTTCGAAACTGCAACGGGGGACCAGTGGACGAGGTCACGTGATGGAGCCGACCGGCCAGCATGGCATGCACAACCAGCAGACGGCCACGTTTTCCAACTCGAGAACTCGCAAAGCAACTGGGAAACGTCGGACATGACCCTGTCTCCGATTGCAGCGGCGACGCTCCAGGCGACTGGCCTGTCGACAGCGTCCAACATATGCGCCCAATTCATCGACGGGTACCAGGAGCAGGTATGTGCCACCAACAGAGCGCGACATGACCGATGTAGTCGTGATTCGTGAATGACCAACTCATTGCTCGTCAATATTAAAAATAAAAATAAAAAATAAAAAAAACAGCGCCCCTTCTCCCTGGACCCCCTGCAGCTGCTGCGGTTCATCCTGCTGACGCTGCTGACCACGCCGCCAAACTACCACTGGCAGCAGTTCCTCGAGAGGCGATTCCCAGGGTACACGCCGACCCGGCAGCCCTACGAGGCGGTCGAGCTGCAGATTGTCGAAGAAGGCGGCGACGCGCGGCGGGCGCCGGAAACATTCAGCTACCGCAACACGCTGGCAAAGTGGTTCATTGACTGCATGACGGTGGGCGCCGTCCTCAACACGGTCGCCTTCCTCGTCATCATGGGCGTTTTAAAGGCCCGCTCGCCAGGTAGTATATGGCGGAGCGTCGTGGACGTAAGGACGGTTGAAAGTTGAAACCCTCTGTTGAACGCGCGGCTGACGCCTCCAAGGACACGATCCCCATTATTGTCGCCGGGTACAGGATCTGGCCGCTGGCGTCGATTGTGAGCTTCAGCGTGATTCCCGTCTCCAAGAGGATCGTGTTTCTCAGCTTCGTCGGCTTCCTGTGGGGGGTGTACATGAGTCTCGTGGCGGCTCGGGTGTGAATTTGGAGCCGAGTCGAGGTGCGCAAGGCCGTGGTGCCGGCGGATTGTCGACCTGCGTACTCCGTAGGCTAAGCGGAGAGAGCTACATGTACATAGTAACATTGGCCCGTCGTTTATCAAGTCCCCTCCGGAGGCCCTGCCGGGGGCCGCCTGCGGCGAGCTGTGGCCTGCGGCCCGGCGTTGGCATGACACCGTGTGAGGTTCGCGATGCGTTTGAGTCTTTTATATAGCAGGGATATCCCCCCGTACGCTTCTACGGCACACACACAACTAAACTACATCCGTCGTTTCTTTCTTCCCTCCCAACATGCATTCACTACTTCAGCCACTGAATACCGCCGTCAATGTCCCCCCACCACGCGTTCGTCATGTCCCGCCAGTAATGGGAGCGCGGCTTCCACTGCGGGCTGGAGCCGACCTTGGGGAGCAGGCTCCTCGCCTTCTCGACGTAGGTCGAGCTGAGGCGCATAAAGGGCAGCGGCTCCATGGCGGCCTTTTCGGCGTCGGTCAGCCGGGGCACGATGACGCGGTAGCCCTCCCGGGCGGCCTTGGCGAGCATGCGGCAGACGAGCTGGGCGGTGGCGTCGGCGCCCAGGGTCCAGCTGGCGTCGACGTAGCCAAAGGACAGGGCGAGGTTGGGCACGTTTTCCAGCATGCAGCCCTTCCAGGCGTAGCAGTCGGCGAGGCGGACGGGCGCGCCGTCGACCGACGTCTCGATGCCGCCGGCGAGGTGCAGCCTGAGCCCCGTGGCCGTGACGATGATGTCCGGGTGCAGCTCCCGGCCCGAGGCGAGCTTGATGGCGTCGGCCGTGACCCTCTCGATGACGCCCGTCTCGACGCTCGCCCTGCCCGTCCTGAGGCACCGGAAGAAGTCGCCGCCGGGGCAGAGGCACATGCGCTGCTCCCACGGGTTGTAGCGCGGCGTGAAATGGGGGTCCATGCCGACGCCGCCGGGCAGCTCGCGCGAAGTCCCCCTCAGGATGAGGGC